TGCTCTATTCCTGCTATCACTGAGAAATTCCATCATAAATAAAAATCCCCAAGGTGCTGGCTGCAATTTCACATCTTCTGTGTGACCCATATGTGTGACCCAAGAGAGCTGAGCAGTGCTAATTGCTACTGAAGTAATTCTGAACTCCTCTCTGAAGAGAGATAGTAACTAGTGTAGGGTCTGTTCTTTCTCCCCTGTCTCAAAATGTGTTCTCAAAACTGCCAAATTCTTTTAATCTGAGCATTGCTTCCTCAAAAACATCTCAAAACTGGGATATCAGTGCTTCCTTGGTTACCACGTGTTGTGTAAAACTGGATGGATGGGTGGAAATCCTGTAGTAAAAATGAATAATTTTGCTTTGAGATGCCTCTGCCTTCAGTTGCTGCTCTGAGATAAGCTCTGGGCCATTCCTGGAATGCTTGAAGGAAATACTGCTCTTGTCTTTGTTTTCTGCTTTATGTACCCTGCTATGAGCCTTGGGGGTCTGTGCAGGAATTGCCTCCCCTGGACAGCTTAGGGCCTCTCTGCCACTTGCATAGCTGCTGTCATTGACCAAGTGCCCTTTCTGATCCCCTGCAGATCTGCCACAGCAAAAGTGGAGAGATCAACCCTATGAAGGTGGCTAACCTGGTGAAGGCATATGTGGAAAAATACAAGCATATGAGGAAACATAAGAAAACTGATGGTGAAGACACACGTGAAGTGGAAAACTGAGAGCAAGCCACAGCCAGCATGACTTGGATTGAACTTGTCCTAGCTGTGGACACTGTGGGAATAACAGACCTGCAGTTGCATCCCATTGTAAGCAGAGTGCAGAAAAACAAGATGATAATAGACTTTATCTATGGAACTTTCTCTTGAATTGTTTCCATATGGGAATGAATTTAGGATTTTTTTGGATTACCTACAGCTGTAGAACTAAATAACAATCAAATGCCTCAGACCAGCAGAGTAATTCGAGGGGAAACAGAAGAGATTCATGTTTGGAACTCCCGGATTGCTGCAGTTTTCAGGGTTACTTGATCACATTTTTGGGCTGTGCACTTGTCTTCTAAAGTTTGAAACTGGACACCACTTTTCATACAGTATATTGAGAACTGTATACTGTTTCCCTTGTGTTTATTTATCTAAATATGGATTGTCTTTAGAAATTTCTGATTTAATACTTGAAATGTTGTATTTTTAGCCCTTTGGATGGTGAGCGAAGCTTTACTCGCTCTGGCATTTGGGGATTGCAGAAATGAGTTAACCTTTATAAACTGACTTCAGAAACACTGCTCAAGCTGTGGTGTTTATTTAAATTCTGTTCAAAGTACCTTGCTAGTGAAAAAAATTAATTTGGGGGTGGGAGATTGTGTTGCACTTGTGTAAATAATGCACTGATGGCTGGTTTTGTGTCTGCCTTTCAGGAAAAAAAATGAAACAAAAAGCAAGCATTGTCAATTTTCCGTAACAAGTCTGAAGCATAAGGTTGAACTGATGTACAAAGCAGAAATGTGACAGAGTTTATAAAGTTATTTTGAATGGTTTTTGTCCTGTAGCAGCTGTCATTTGTTTGTCTTGCATCTGCCTCTTGGCCTGGCTGTTCCATGTAAACCTGCACGTGTAAGGAATACTATGTTTGTGAAGGGGACTGGAGCTGGATTAGTAATTGTCCCTCCTCCTCTGCAGGAGAACTGCAGATCCCTATCAAGAATCAAAGCAGTCCAGCACACGTTCTGACTTCATCTTGATGGCTTCAGCAGAATCCCTTGCCTGCAGGTACTGCAGAGCAGCAGCTCTTTTAAGTGACTCTCTGAAATACAGGCCCTTAAATGATACAGCACCCTTGAACCTGACTTGAATCATTCCCCATCAAATCCTGCTAGGAAGGAGATGTTTCACAGAGAAATTGAAGAGAAAACCGTAAGTTACAACTCAGAGACTGGCTTTCCCTTCATGGGAGCTGGTTTGGAAAGTTTATTTTTTTACTATTTAAACAAAACAAGCCTATATACCAGTAGTGTTCATGGATGAATCCTGAGCATTTTGAAATTAATCTTCCTTGCTTCTGTATGCTTCCGGTATGGAAGTGCAGCCTGGATGGACTATTAGGAAGTGATAACTTTGGGTTACTTTGTAGATTTTTGGAAAAGACACAGTACTGACTGCAGAAGAACAGCTGTCAGAGAAGCTACAGTTTTCAAGCTAAACTTGGAGCTAGAATACAGACGTGGAACATGGGTGTGGGGTTTTAAATGCAAACACAGCTGATAGATTTCTTTACAAAATAAGAATTGAGAAACTTTAATAACACTGTTAGCACAAGAATGAGACAATGTGATCTAGTTGTGCATACATTTAGGCCAGAAATTGGACACCTCTGAATGTCTCAGAGGAGCAGTTCTGCCATCACCTGTCTATACAGAATGAAAAAGGGTCGGTGGTGTGAAAAATAAGGCTTGACCAAATAATAGAAGCAAGTACACTGTTTACCGGGAAGACAGTGTCAGTCTGTTTCATTCCTCAGGCTGTTTCACTGCTTTAAATTATTGTTAAATGTTACCCTTGAACCGACAGTAAAGATAACAGCCTGTTGCAGGATGTGTTAGGAGCGCCTGCGATATAAGGTCTGTTACATTTGTTATTTCTGCAACTGCCATTGCCTGAGGAGTGCTGAGACTGAAAACTACACCTTCTGCATGAGCTTTCTGCTGGAATTACATGAATAAGAATACTGGTTCTTTCGTTCTGTCTACCATTAAAATAAAATTATCAAATTGTAAGCTGCCTCCTCGGAGAGGCAATGAGAAACATACCTAAAAATCCCTCTTCTGGTGTGTTCTAGAACAGTTTTTGTAGTATACTGTGTATACTACTTGCTTTTTTATTTTTCCCCTTTCTGGCTGGCCCTCTCGGATCACATGCTGTTACCTGTTTAAGGGAAAAAATCTTATTTATTCAATACATGCAGTATTTGGTAACAATATAATCTCTTTTTAGTGTCCTTTCATTCCCGTGAAAGAGTGGTGGTGCCAAAAGCTTGTTCAGCATAGGCAGGGAGGGATGCTGCACCAGGAATTTGATTTGGAGCCTACTCTGCTGCCATGGTTGTCTCATAGGTGACCTCCAGTACTGCTTTTGGGACATAATCCTGGCACTGCCATCTGGCCAGAAATGTTCAGGTTCTTGAGAGCTGCTCTGAGGCTGGATGGAGAAAGAGAGGGTGGGGTTCTCTGGCAGAGAGGGAGGCGGGAGCGGCACCAGAGGAGGAAACGAAAGGGGGAGGCGAGCGCCTGGAGGATCCAGCTGTGCCACTCTGCAGGGTCATGGCCCAGCCCAGAGCCTGTGAGTAGCTGCCCTGGCTCTTCGCTGCTCCAGCTCACTGGTGGTGGGGGTTCTTTGGGTTGTCCCTGAGGGAGAGACTGGGCATTTGGGAGAAGGTGAAGGCTTGCTTTCCTGCTGGGCTTGGAGCATATCCCGCGTTTTAGTGGTGATGCTGAGAAATGATGAGTCAGTCCTGAGCTGGATGCATTGCCTAAGGGGATGCTCTGCTTGGCATCATGGGAGGAAGTGAAACAAGGAAGAGGAAAGCAAATCTTAACCATGTTTTGCTCTGGTATCATGTGATGCCCATCCCATTGATGCTCTCACCTGCAAATCTCTCTTCTCTTAACACCTTCTATTTGGGGACATTCTCAGCTGTCAGTGAGTCCCTTCCTGTGTACCCTGCCCTACGGAAATCCCACCGTCCCTGCATTTTTTCCCCGGTCCCTGTGTAATTTCCCCAGCTTCCCAGGGCTGGGAGCATCATCTGGAGGGGGGAGGATGTGATAGAGGAAGTGTCTGAACTCGCTGGCCCTGGCCTCAGTGCATTCCCATAGCTGTGGTCAAGAGCTGCGAGTGGGGGAGCAGTGAGTTGTTTGGGGAGCAGCTGTCCTGGTGTGGGCTCTGCCCCCACAGCCCACTGCCGGGATTAGAAAGTGACGGAATCTGTGGTATTTTAGATGATTCCGAGATTGTAGAAAGCCTCTGAGCCCTGCTGCCAAAGAAGAAGCCATAATTCGTCTGTGCTGTTTTCAAGGTTGTTTATTCTTGCTTATCTCTAGCATGTTCTGCTGCCCTGCCGCAGCTCTGTCCTGCAGGGCAGCGTGTGGGGCTCTGCCCCTCAGTGGGATGTTACAAACATTATATACCAGAAACTCCCTGTGCTGTATTTACAATAATGTGCCAACATCTGTCGCCTACATTGAACAGTGTGTCCCCAGCCTAAACCAATAGAAAAATGCCAACACTACAGAGGAACATGAATGGCATGAAGAAGAAAAAGGACAAGACACACCCAATTTCCTCCATCTTGTCCCCTTTGGACCCCTTATCTAGAATCCTAAAATTTTACTTTTGCACCTGTGCCCACACTAATTATTACTAATATCAAGCACTCAGAGCTTGTAATTCATCCTGTAAGATTGAAAACTCTTTTCCATGGGCAGAGATCACAGACAGTGTCTCTCGGGGCTCTGTACAGGGGCGTTCCTGACCCCCTGCCAGGGTCCCAGAACTTCCAGGGCAGCCAGAGGGATGCCCTGGATTCCCACAAGAATGTTTTGGGGTAGATATATCTGTGGCTGGAGGTCTTGCAGGGCTCAAAGCGTGAGAGCAAATTTGTTAACGTGGCACTTGGGCTGCCAGTCAACATCTGAGGGGAACTGTTCCTGCATCTTCAGTCCCAGCCAAGATCCTCAGCTTCAGTTCCTCTCTTGAGAGATCACAGGAGCTGTTCAAGCAGAAATTGTGGTTGCACTGTTCAACCAGCTCCTCTGCTTTTCCTTGCTGGCCAAAATTATCCCAAAGTCATGCGGAAAAAAAATATATAATGTAATTATATTTTAGTTTGGTAAAAAAAAAAACAAAAAAAAAAAAAAAAAAAAAAAAAAAAAAAAAAAGAAAGAAAGAAAGAAAGAAAAAATGGTCTGCAATTCCAAAGGGTCAAACTGTCTTTTAACCACCTTCCGTGTCCCATGTGTCCAGGTCAGGAGCAGGAGGACAGATTGCGTGAAGTGAATCTCTCTACCCAGAGGCTGCGTGTGCTCCCTCTCACAGTCCTGAGCAATTCCACACTGGAGAGCCTTGACCTTGACAGGAACAAGCTCAGGAGGATCACTGGCATTTCTAAGCTTTGCAACCTCAAGAGTCTGATACTGTCCAAGAATGAGTTTGTGGACTTTCCCAGTGAAATCCAGAGCCTGGTCTGTTTGGAGAGGCTTGAGCTGAATCAGAACCAAATCCGGATCATCCCAGAGGGGGTTTTCTCCCATCTCTCCAGGCTTAAGCACCTGCGGCTGAACAACAACCGTCTGTGTGCCCTCCCCAGGGACCTGGCAGCTTGTGGAGGCAGCCTCCAGTACCTCAACATCTCCAACAACCTGTTCCGCACCTTCCCGCAGCCCGTCCTGCAGCTGGCACGCTTACAGGAGTTCCATGTGCAGAATAACGCCCTTCGCCAGCTCCCCAGAGAGCTCTTCCAGGGGCAATCCCTGAAAATGTTTAAGGCCAGTGGGAACCCCCTCCGGGAGCCACCCACTGAAGTGTGTGCTGGTGGCATTCAGCAGATCCGGAATTACTTCGACCAACTTCAGCATGGTTTGGGGCAGGAGGACAAGAGGGTCAAGACCATGTTCTTGGGGGCCTCGCTGGCAGGGAAGTCCACCATCTGCAGAAGCCTGAAGCAAGGGCAATCCAAACTGGTGCCCAAGGAAGAGCGAACGGTTGGAATAGAGATCAGTGAGTTCCAGATGGAGGACTTCACTTTTCTCTTCTGGGACTTTGCTGGCCAGCTGGAATACTACATGACTCACCATGTGTTCATCACCCCACAAGCTCTCGTCATCCTCGTCGTCAATCTTCACATGTAAGTGCTGAGCTGGTTTGGATTCCAGGTAGAGTGGGGAAACTAAAAAAGAGCTGGGGAACTTTGCACTGCACAAATTCACACTATTTCCACTGGACCTTGAGGCCTGGTCTTCTCACCATTGGCATAGCTGGCTCTCCCTCTAGCCCTTTTTGCAGATCAACCTTTTAATCCACCAGGTTTGTCATCACCTTGCCAAAGGCCTCTGTTTGGAAGCGTTGAAATAAGCATCAACTCCTTATGTGACGACTGAACCCCATCTAAGTGGACTTGCTTTCTGCAAGAAGCAAATCCCTCCTGTGTCCTCTGGTGTTCCCTGAACACGGAGGGAGCATCAGGCTTGGGTTTGGTGCTACAGAGGGATGCTCTTGCCCACAGGAGGGTTTGACTCTGCTATACCCCACAGTGTAAGGATGGGGAACTGAAGTATGAGCTTGGATACAGCCCATGTCAGTGAGCTGTATCTCAGGTACTGAGATCTGAGCTCTTGTCCTGAGAGCTCCTGGGACAGCAGGGTTTGTGGGGCTTCCTGTACTGGTGGAAGTTGGCTGGAGATCCAGAGAATGAGGTGTGAATTTGGAATTTTCTTTTTCTCCCTCCCCAGGTACCAAACTAACGACAAAATTTTCAAGGAGCTTGTTGGTTTCTGGATCAACAACCTGTCCATGCGAGTCCCAAACTCAGTGGTGCTTCCTGTGGGAACTCACGTAGACTGCTGCCAGGAGCAGGAGGTAGCAGAGAAGACATGTGACATCATGGCCAGGATCACAGCCATGCTGGCAGAGAGAAAAAGCACCCTTGCTCACTTCATCGACAACCTGGAGGGCAGTGAGGAACCCAAGTTTTATGTGGACCAGTGGGAGAGGCTGAAAGAGATGGAGAGCTGCACGTTAACCGTAGGGCTGAGATTATTCTGGGTTCTGGCTGGCTGAGGTCACCCTGCTGTCTCTGGCAGCCCAGCGTGCTACTGGCTAGGGTCACCTGGTGCAAATGCATCAGGCCACTGCTGCAGCCCCTCCCCAGGCTGGGGTGGACGTGGTAACTCCTGGCTGTGACCTGCAGGGTCCTTTTCCCTAGTAGGTGATGGGCATCTCCTCCTGTGGCTTGTAGCAAGTGCCTGAGGAGGAGTGTGAAGGGTCATTTACCATTACCAGGTGATTTTCAGGGACTGCTGTAGAACAGAGGTGTCAAGGAAGTGCCTCTGAAGCTGAGCCAGTGGCGTGTCTCACCCTGGGTGACCTCATGGGCATTAGGTCTTTCCTTTACCTCACAGGCTAAAAAACTCCTCTGGATGTGCTTCTGTCAGTTATGTGCTTCCTCTCTTCCAGATCTTAAACTTAGTTGCTGTCAACTGCACAGATCACCGTGACATCAGAAAGCTCAAGGCCATTATTTTGAAGCACGTGAAGAATGAGGAGCTGTTCCCTGAGGTTGTCCGAGTGCTGCCGCCTGTCTACAGGCAGGTGGAAGCTGCCATCGTGGATATTGCGCAGAGCGAGGAGATGGCAGAGCATGGTGAGTGCTCTGTCACCTCTGCCACACCTTTCTGAGAGGAGCTTCTGCCCTGTGCCTGGGATAGGCTCTCTCCAGGGCTTTCCTGAACTGGGGATGGGCTCTCCAGTGCTTGCTGCACCCTCTGGCCCTGTTTGTGTGGCAGTGGAGTCACTGCTGAAGACCTTGCAGTGTTAATGCTGAAGCATGCCTGAGCAGACCACATTGTCTGGTTTCTTGTTTTCCAGTGATGTTTTTTGTTCTCCTCTTTTCCCTGTATAAGCAATTAGAAACATCTTGCAGGAAGGAGCTCCACAGCTTTAATACAACTATGTGGTTTTCAAATCTACATCCTGCTAGCCTTATTTAATGGCCCTTACCCTTCCCTAGACCCTTTTTCCATTTATCACATGACTTAGCAGAACCAGCAGGCAGCTCCAGCCCCTTGCTTATATACCAAAAGCAGGTATGAATTCCACCAGTTCCCAGTGACATCTCTGGCCCCTCTGGCCAGTGTAGGATTAGAGAACAAGAAGCAAATGCTTTTCTTTCATGGAGATAAGTCAGATTTTGTTGCCTGTCTCTCTAAATTGCTGAATGGCAGTCTGAGGTTTAACTGGCAATCTGAGGTTTTCTGGCTGGAAATAAACCTGCTTCCTCAAACAATAATAATAATAAAAAAAGTATTAGCCTTGTTTTTCAGAAAGTTCTGGCAGGCTGTTCCCACTGCTGAGGCAAGGCAAAGCTGTGGGAGCTTCAGGGTGGCAGTTGGACATCTGAGGAGAGGCAGAACATTTTGGTCACAGTCACTGAGCACGCTGATGCCAGCTACTTCCCCAGGGATGGCCTAGGTGACATGGGTGTTTGCTGGCTCTCTGAAGCATCTGCCGTGGACTGCTGTGTCTGGTAGACGCATGCTGAGCTCCTGCATCTCCCTCTAGGCATGATGGACCTCCAGTACCTACTCAGCAAACTCTCCCAGTGCGAGCACCTGGCCAGCCTGGACAGAGAGCTCCTCCAGGACATCTTGCGGTACCTCCACCGCATCGGGCTCGTCGTGTGGTATGAAGAAATCAAGCACTTGGAAAACACCGTCTTCCTCCAGCCTACATTTTTAATAACGATGTTCAAGGTGAGTGTGGGGATCAGGACCATCTCTGTAGAGCCCAAGTTCTGCAGCTTTGCTGGGCTCCTCTCACTGCCATCTCATCTCTCCTTCTCTTCCCATGCAGCTCCTGGTGCGGCACCAACTCGTCCAGCAGCTCGAGAGCATTTCTGTGGAGACACTGATTGGAGAACATGCCACCATCAGAGACAGGGCCAACTGGGTGTGGACCTTCAAGTCAAAGGCAATGCTGTGCCACCAGGCTGTGCGTGCCTTGGTGAAGCACCAGCTCTGTTCGGAAGGGAGGTGGGATGTCTTTGAGGAAATCATGGGACACAAGCCTCACAGAGGGAGAGGGAAACTCTTCAGCCTCCTGGAGCACTTTGAGCTCTGCCTGGAGGTGAAGCACACTGAAGCACTCAACCCACAGGCCAGGGAGTTTGTGCCTGGGAAGCCGTGGGAGACAACACGGAGCCAAGGCGTGTCCTGGTACTTGTTCCCAACCTATCTGAACCAGACAGAGGAAGTGTCTGGGTTCTGGGGAGGAGATCACCCTGAGGACCTCCACATCCGAGCTTACTTCTCACCCGAAATACCTGAGGGCTTCTTCCAGAGGTAAGCACTGGTTTCCGGCCATCAATGAGGTTTGAGTTTGCTCAGTGCAGTGCCAGGATGACTCTCAACAAGCCCTTGGCTCTTAAGACTGTATCTGCTGAGGCCTGAGGCTGGGAGTCAAGACACCAGGGTGGCTTCTGAGCTGTGCCACACACATGTAGGGCCCTGGGTGAACCCCTTGGAATGTTCACTGCCCAGATGTGAGCAAAGGCCATGCTCCTTCTGGTTCACCTTTCATCTGGAGGTGGTGTTTGGCTAATCTGTGTCCTCCACGCAGGCAGAGGTCTCACAGTCTCACCCAAGAATGTTCTAGTTTCTATGGGTGTTTGAACTATACCAGTTTTTGGAACTTCTCCTGGTTTTCTGGACTTGTGTCTAGAGTTTTATCTGATGGTTTGTGGTTAAACCCTAACCAGCAACCAAACACCACAGAGCCACTTGCTCACTCTCCCCAGCTGGACTGTAGGGAGAATCAGAAAAGTGAGAAAACTCATGGGTTGAGATAAGGACAGTTTAATAGTTGAAATAAATTATAATAATAACAGTAATAGCAATAATAATATTGTAATGAAAAGGAAATCAGCAAAGAGAGAAATACAACCGAAGAACAGGTGATACAAATAAAAACCAATTGCTCAGCACTAACCAACTCATGCCCAGCCTGTTCCCAAGCAATGGTCCCCAAGGTTTATGTGCTGAGCATGATGCTACTGTGTATGGGATAACACTTTGGTCATTTGGGGTCAGCTGTCCCTTCCCATTCCCCTCACTGGCAGGGCAGCCTAAGAACCTGAAAAATCCTTGACTTGAGGTAAGCCCTGCTCAGCAGCAATTAACACATCAGTGATGTGTTATCCACATCATTCGCATCCTAAATCCAAAGCACAGCATTGTACCAGCTACTAGGAAGAAAATTAACTCCATCCCAGACAAAACCAGGACAAAATGGCCAACTCTGGAAAGATCTCTTGGTTTAAGAGGCTGCTCCTGCTACTTGAGCTTTCAGCAGGGGAAGGTCCTCATTTTGTGTCTGTTCTTACTGCAACTTGGTTCATATTTTCAAGTCCATCCAGTTTCTCCAGCATTAGGGATAAGCTAGGAGAAAAGTGATGAAAGCCATGGACAATCTCCTTGCAGGTTGCTGGTGAAAGCTTGCTCCTTCTATTCCACGCACTGGGTGGCCAAGGTGACCTGCCTGCTTGTATGCAATGGCAAACCCCTGCTGATCAAAGAGAATAACCAGAGGGCCTACAGCTACCTGGAGCTCCGCAGCAGAAAGCCATCAGAAAGGACAGGTAAGATCCCTGATCCATATTTCATTACTCCCAACCCCATGTCTTGCCTTAGCTCTGCTCCTGCCACTTCCAGCCCTATGGGAAGTGTCCCAGGAAGCCTTTGCCACATGTCCTAGTCTGGCCTGGGTCCACCAGCAGTCCACTTAAAGGTTTTCCCTTTCTCCATCGAATTCTGGTCAGGACTCCTCTAGAGGTATCACATGAAAGTGGAAAGCCAAGTTTTCATTCTCGTCATGAAGCAAATGGGTCGTCCTTCCCCAGAAGGCTCCAGCAGAGAACAGTCTAAGGCTGGGTCTTCCACTGATAAGTAAAAGGGCCACCCAAATTGGGGAGCTCTTCCAACATACCATTAAATTCCGTATGGAAGTTTGGTTAACTGGGGATGGAGCTGGTCTGACAGCTGAGGCTGTGGGCTGGAAATTATGTGTGGGTCACAACAGAATCTCCTGGGCTGCTGTGGCTGGAGGCTGTAAGAAAGAGACATTCTCCTTTTGCCTGGAAGGGTTCCAGTTTGCCTGGGACTTCCTTGTGGCAGTTGTGCTCATCATCCAGAAGCTCGCTGAGGAGTGGCCGGGGCTGCATGTGTGTGTGAAGGCTCCCTGCCGAACGTCCGGCTGTCCCGCAGAGTTCCTCTGGCCAGACATGGATGGCACAGGTGCCACGTACGTACACTGTGCCCTCCAAGTGAGGGTGGGACCTGGGTGGCCACTACTGCAATGCTGGTGCAGCTGGTTAGCTTTTAAAAGCCATGTGAAATCAGTTGTGAAACTCACCAGGCACTACGGTGCCCTTCTCCCAACCATAGCAGCTCTTGTCCCAAGTGGTGTTAACACTTACTGGTGTGGGAAACTGGAGCATGGAGGGAAAAGTGAAGAAGCTGAGACTCTGGGGCTCAGGCACAGAATGTTCACTCTGGACATGTGCCCACATGTCCCTGTTTCATGAAGAGCTGAAGGTGCTCAGGCACCTGGGAGGGCAGCGGCTGTCCACCAACAGCTGCCCCTCAGGTCAGGGTGGGAAGAGCAAGCCTCTTCCATGGCCTCGGCATCATATTCCATGGGGAGCGCTGAGAGCAGCTCCTGCTCCTTCTTTCCTGGGCTTTTTCCTCCACAGGACAAAGGAAGACGTTAAAACTTGCGGGACGTGTGGGCATTGTTTTGGTGCAGAGCTGCTCCTGCCCAAAGGTGAGCCCGGTGTCCCGAGTCTGTGCCACAGCTGTGCTCAGAGGAAGGAGGGCTGAGGGTTTCATGGAGCAGAGGGGTTAAGGGTGTCCCATTCCCACAGTACCCAGGCCACTGGAGGAGCCCCCAGCACAGCCCTCTGCTCACTATTACGTGACAAGCTACGGGACCACCACCTTTGGGCCCAGCAGCATCCAGGTCACTCGGCAGGTAAGGACACTGCTTCCTCCCCTTGCCCAGGGACCAACAGTGATGGTCAGGCTCCTGAAAGGAGGGGGTGCAGTTGCTTGCAGCCTGGGGAGGGCACACCCCATCTTCAGTCAGCCCTCTGGTCTCCACACTCCTCCCTGAGATACCACCCCCCTCTGCACCTCTGAGCTGGTGGTCTGGGTGTTTCGTGTTGTACTTACTGCCTTATTTTTCCAGAACATCTCCAGTGAGTAACTCTGGGCAGTGCTCAATGAAGAATTACTTTTGTTTAGCCCAAGCCAAGCTGTCCTCAACACATTCTGCTTGCGAGTCATGTTTGCAGCCTTAATGCATGGAAATAAATGCATGGATAAATGTATCCCTTCACACTGGGAAGTCACCTCATCCACTCAAATTTAAGGAGAAGAAGGTGCTAATAAAGCTCTCTGATACCAGCCCACCCCTGCCAGCAGGGACTTTGCTGAGACAAGGCTGGGCATGGACCCCCGTGGTTTTGGGGGTAGAAAGGGGTGGTGAAGATTTCAGACTGATAGAAGAGGCACATCTCCAGGCAAGAGAGAACTACGATCCCATATATATATGTATTTTAGCTTGAAAAAGTTAAGAAAATAAATCTGTAAATTACCACCCTCCACAAAAACACAACACTAGAAGCTGACAGAGAGGAAAAGCAATGTGTGAGCTCCAGGACTGGTCACTGAAGTTGTCCTTGGGTTGGGGGGTGCTGGTTTGCAGAGCCTGGATGCCCACTGGTGCTGCTGCCTGTGCCAGGGCCATGGGGAGCGGGGCAGGTGGGCTCAGCCCAGCTGCATGTTGTACTGCTCAATGAGCTCCATGAGGTCGAAGGAGTTGGAGAGCTGCAGGCTGATGGTGCGGCTGTCCAGGGAGGAGGCTCCCTCCTGCAGCACCTGCTCGTAGTAGTACTCACAGAACTTGGGCACCAGCTGCAGCAGCAAAATATTTGGGTTAGGGGCAGCTGCCTGATATAGCTGCAACAACCTGCATGGCCCTGTCCTCCTGGAGTGCAGGGAAGAGATGTCTGGGGCACCCTTTGTCTCCCCCAACCCCTGAGGGTCCCTGTCCCTGGGCATCTGCCTTCCACACCATCCCACCCGGACCCCAAGTGTTCTCTGTCCCATTCTTAACCCATGTTTTCCCTGTCCCCAAAGGCTCCCTCCCTGGTCATGCAGCCCCCCATGTCACCAAGAGTCCACCTCCCTGTCACTCAATTGCCCCACCTCTCTCAGCCCTCAGGCTACCCCCTCTTTGGGTATCCAGATCTATCAATCTGCCCCAGATCCTGAGGGCTCACAAATCACCATCTCCACTGCACACTGAGGGCCTCCCTCTTGTGCACCCAAGCACTCACCTGCCCTGGCCCCTGAGGCTCCTCCTGCCCAGTCCCTGAAGAAACTCCATCACCTATCCATCACCTAGAAGACCCCATCCCTGGGCACTCAGAATCCAACCTGCCTCAGTCCCCAAGGGTCCCTCTTCAGGCACTCAGATCCTCCATCTCCCAGCCAGCTCAACCTCAAGGGTCCCCCTCCTCAAGGACCCAGAGTCCCAATTCCCCTGGCCTCCAGGAGTCTCTCCCCTTCCCTGGGCAGCAGTGGGGTAGTGGTGGGTTTTGGCTACTGTACCTTCACCAAGATGAGCTTGGACTCCTTAGGCTTGGCCTTGGAGAAGGCCTGCCCAAAGCAGAGATAGATGGTGAAGTCGGGAGATCGCCGCCTTTGGCCGTTGCGGAAGTCCCTCAGCTCTGTGAGGCAAAACAGGGCTCAGTTTTGGGGTGAGCCTGGGGGCACAGAGGGGCTGGGAGGGTTTGGATGCTTGTAACATCCTGGCGCTGGCTCCGATGAGCCCCAAACCAGGCTGGGCAGGAAACGACACACTGGGAACTACATGACACCCCTTCCCACCTGTGCAAAACTCATGGAAGTCAAAGATGGGTGTTTCCTGGTCTCGGCAGAGCAGGTTGGATGGGGGCTCCTCAACCCCCTCGAGCTGCTGGGACAAGGCCCAGAACACCTTGCACTTCTCCTGGCGGGTGGCAAAGACCTTGTAGGCGCGTTGCTCCAGCCGCAGCCTCGCGATGCCCAGCAGATCCTCGGTGATGCGCCGCTGCTTGCCGTCGGCCAGGCTGGCGGGGCTGGGGAAGCTCACCACGTGCCCGGGGCACGGGGCCCCCGGCAGGCTGGGGCGCTGGTACGTCAGCAGGCAGTGGCTGCCCCCAACCACCTCGTGGTGGAACTCCTTCCCCCGGTAGTAGATGGTGACATCCAGGATGGAGACAATGCCATCTGCACCAGGAAGTGATCAGCAGCTGCATCCTCCAAACCGAAATGTTACCCCTCCCCGAAGCACCCCCCAAGCATATTTACTGCTAATAATTGTAATTATAATAATTTATAGCTATTAATAATTAGTAACCCTGACCTGTGTGATCCAGCAGCAGCCGTGGCTGTGGCACGGGGCTGGCGGCGGGCACGAACAACGTCCGACCCGGCACATACTGCATGGGGACCGTGCCCTCCGTCAGCTGGCACGGCGGTGGCATGGCCCCTGCAGAGGGAGATGACCAGCAATGTATCACCATTCCAGATGCCACCCTGACCTCTTCCCACCCCATTATGGCATTCCCACAGCCAGGGGCAGATCCTGTCCCACGGCACCCACCTGTCTCCTCTGGTGGCATGAGGCCGATTGGTTGGTAGGTGCCCAAGGTGGGCTGCTCCACCGAGGGCACCCATTGTGGAAATGTGGGAGGGAAGCAGCTGTTTTGGCTGGTGTCTGAGTAAGGCTGGAGCAGGGTGTCCTGGTGAGGCTGGAGCAGGGTGTCCTGGTGAGGCTGTTGTACGATGTCCTGGTGGGGAGTGTCTCTGGCAGGGAAACCACCTGTGGGAAGGTTCTGGGGTCACTCACCCAGGCAGTCACCAACTCTGCACCCCACGAGCAGACCAGCTCTCACCTGCAGGCACCCAGGATGGGGCCAGCGAGTCAAGGTCGCTGGGAGAGATGTCACACTGCTGCAGCAGCTGCTCCAGAAGCTCTGTGGGGTCGGTGTTTCCTAAGGGGGAGCACAGTGGGTATGATGTCTCACAGCCACAAAATTACTTCCAGTTGAGCCTACTGGTTATCCTCCCCCAAAAAAAGATTGTGGGACTAGTGCTTACCTGGGACAGCAATGGCTGAGGCCATGTCTTGGGGGTGGATCTCCGGCTGGAAAGGGGAGGAGAATGGGATCTTACTGCTGTGGTTGCCAGGCATCCAGCCTCCCTCAGCCCACATTTTGGCCAGCCCACATTTGGCTGCAGCTTAGGAGCAATGCTTGTGGAGTGGCAGCGGGGACCCCCCCTGGCCTGCTGTCCCCACCCAGCTACCTGCAGCTGCTGTTGTGCTGCCTGCTGGTCCACCACAGGGTTGGGGATGCAGGAATGTCCCTCCTTGCTGTCCTGGAGGGTGGCTGAAAGGAGAGCAGCAGGAATGGGAGGCCCTGATATTGTGCACCCCATCCAACACAGCCCCTCCGTGGGGCGACACTCACCTGAGACAATGGAGAAAACCTTGTGGGGGTCATCACCACGCTTGGAATGGTCCTGTTCCAGCTTGAACAAGTGGGTGCTGCTCAGGGCACAGCGGAAGTTGGTCTTCCACTTGGCTGGATCCTCGGAGCCTTCCTCGTACCGCCCACTGACCTTTGCCCAGGCCTGGGGGTGCAGGGAGGTGAACATGGGCTCCCTGGCCCCATGAGAACGGAGGTTTCCAGGGATGACTGGTCTTCCCCACCTCCCCAGCTCCCACCTTGAAACTCTCAGCTTGCTGCTGGTCACCATCCTATCCCACACACCTTGGAGACCCTGAAGCTGCTGCTGGCGTCCCCCACCCCGCCCACCTTGAGGATCTCCCCGTCGCTGCTGGCGACACTCATCCCACCCACCTTGAAGACCTCCAGGTCAGTGCTGGTGATGTCCTTCCTGGCGTTGTGCTTCCAGGGGACGCGGAAGGTGGTGTGGGCAGCGTCCATCCAGCGCAGCCCCCGGTAGCTCCCGCTGTTGATGGCGTCCAGCAGCCACTGTCCGAACCGCAGCCTCTGCGCTTCCCTGCGGGCGGGGACCGTCACCGGGGGGCACCGGGGCCACCCGGAGACGGCGACCCGGGGGTGCTGAGCGCCGCTTACCCCTCCTTCTCCGGTGCTGCCATGGTGCCGGTCCGCAGAGCCGCCGCGCCGTGCCGTGCCGTGCCGTGCCGTGCCGTGCCGTGCCGTGCCGTGCCGTGCCGTCCCTTGGCGCGGGGGCGGCCGTCTCCTTCCCGATCCTTTATCCGGCCCTCTCGTTTTCCTGGAAATCACGTGTCCCTCCGAAAGTGAAAGTGCCGCCGCTCCCGCGGGGCGCGGTGCCGCCGCTCCCGGGGTGCCCGGGAGATGCTCCGGGCCCGCCGCGCACCGCGCTCCCCGGACTGTCAGTAATTAAATTAATAAACCCGACCTAAAGCTGAGCGTGGGAATCCCGCAGCGCAGGGGGTCAGCCACACCCGCTCCAGCTGGGGCTTCCCGCGGCTGGAAAACCCCGGGGTGTCCAGATGTTTATTTTAATCCCTCTTCTCCCGGCTGCCTTGGCTTGCACGCCAAGCCCGTGCTGCCAACAATGACAAACCGAGAAAGGCCAAAGTGCGGCGGGCAGCGCTCGGCACCGAGGCAGAGGCGAACCAGCCCATGTCCCCGACAGGAACAGCGACCACCCGGCGCTTCTCCGAGCCCTTTGAGCTCTCTGGGGAGCAGTAAAAAAACCCAAACTCCATGAGAGGTTCTTCGAGCTCCTTACGCAAGGGCCAGGAAGGGATGGAGGGGTCAGTGAGGCTGAAGCATGGAACTGCAGCCTTTTTCCCAATGTCCAGCTTGTTTTTGAGGAAATTTCTTCTCTCCAGGAACTCCCTACTGCCTACTAGGCACTCTACGTGTTTTTTTCAGGACATTGCCTGTTGTTTCCCAGTAAATTCCCCACTTCCTTCCTAAAACATCCCCCATTCTCCAGGAAATTTCCCAGTCATGTTGTAGGGTATTTCCTTCTGGTTTCCTGGGCAATGTCTTTGTTGCTTACTAGAGTCCTCCATCCCTGTCTACGATTTTTCCCTCTGCTTAGAGGATTTCCACTGCTTCCCTGGGAAATTTCCCCACGACTGTAACTCCCTGCTGAGAGGAAAGCTCCCATGTTTACAAACAATTTGCTGGGTGAAGGTGTGGGTGTTACGGTTTTTGAAATGGGCCCAATGTCTCTACTGCCTTAGGGCAGCGGGTTTGCTGCAGAGCCCAGGCAGTTCTGCTCCTGAAACAGACAAGGCTCTGCACAGCCTGAGTTTCTGAATTCTAGGGTAAAATAGCAGGTTCAAAGTGGGATATGTGGTAGGCGGTTTGGGAAGGCTGAACCCTCCTGATGCCTCAGCCAGTAGGGAAAGGAAGAGGGTAACACGTAGCTAGGAGTTTAGGATAAAAACAGGATGCTCCCTCTGAAACTTTGAGAGAGAAAATGCCACAGGTGTCTGCTCTGGTGGACTTTCTCATTTTATTTGATTCTCACTTTATTTGAATAAAGTTGAAGAACTCCTTCTGCCTCCTTTTTGGACATAAACTTCTGTTTTGGGGTGACCCTGGGGGCACAGAGGGGCATTTATGGATTTTCCTCACACTGGGAAGCAAGAAATTATTTCCCAAGAAGTACCATTCATCCCCTCTGGGCAATGCCCCTTTTGCTATTCACCAATTCCTCCTTTGCATTCTGGGCAATTTCCCCTCTCGGAAATATCACTGTCACTTTCTTTAAAAATGTCACTTCTGCTTTTCAGGAATTTACCAGGTAATTGAGGCAATTTTCTCCTTGCGTTCATGGAATTTACCTCCTTTTATTTCTAGACTATTCCCCCTATAGCCTTGTAGAAAATTCCCTCATTGCTTTCTAGAAATTCCCTGTGTATTTCCCCCTTTACTTTCAAGGACTTGCCCCTAGTTCTCACATAGAAATTCCTACATTGCCTTACAGAAATTGTCTAGTCCACTTTGTTATCCAGGATATTCAGCTTTCCAGAATGGTTTCATGTTCCAGGAATTTTCCTCTTGGCTGCCAGGATTTTTCCTTTTGTTTTGCAGGAATTTTCCCCCACAATTTTAGGAAATAGGACAGGGGCATTCAGCAGATCCAGCAAAATGTATTTAAAGGCAGTGAACATGATGAAACTCAAGAGAGGAGCCAGAAGAGCCAGGTCAGGTTGGGAGCAAGGGACAAGGCTGACACGGACAAGGTGAGGCTGGAATGGGCCCAGAGCTCTGCCAGAGGAACAAGAGGGAAGGAGTGGTGCTGGCTGCTGGCTCCTGCCCCAGGGATAAGCAGCACCTGCAGGGAGGGGAGCAGAGGAGTGTTTATTTACTTTCATTCCTCAATGATGCAATCAGCGCAGAGTGGTTTCAGTTAACAGGTGATTAAATTGATGGGAATTCTCCCATTTAATTTTTTTTTTTTCTTTTTGCAAGCAGGACCCTGCCTGCCTGGACAGGGGGGTACCTGTCTTGCACAGCCACAGCTGTTATCTCCTGCCACCTCCCCAGGTCCTGCTGGCTCAGGGACATGTCCAGGAAGCTAAAAATCAGCCAAATTTACGTCACCAGCTCCTGCACAGAGGAAGAAGAGCTGGAGATTTCAGGAGAAAGAGTCCGTTTTACAAAGTTGTTTTTAAAAGCATCCTAAAGGACAAGGAGAGTTTTCCCTGAACCTCAGCGCTTCACTGCAACAAATTTTCTTCTGAACTTAACCCCACCATACAAACCTGCACCCCACGCACATCCCCACAGCCACAAGTCACCCAGTTTCCAGGGACAATCCTTGCAGGAAGAAAGCCAAGCTGAAACTCCACAAGTTTTATCAGCAAGGTCTCTTTTAGGGACCCCCCTGTAAATCAAAAAGCAGCAAGGAATGGGGCACCTTAAAGAAAAAAATTAAAATAAACCTTTCTCTTTTAATCCACCCAAGGGAAATCCAGAGCAAGAGCAGCATCACAGCACTACACACAGCACAGACATCTATCATTGCCTTTGCACAGATTCCTTTCCAGATACACAGAAAAAAGGAAAGAAAAAGAAAATTATTCACATATGTAAAGTGACAAGTAACAAATCAGCCACAGAACAACTCTTTCAAAGAGAAAAAGGATGCATCAAGGAAGAAGGCCCTCAACATACAGGTTTCATGAAAACCTAACCAAAGAACAGTGAAACAGAGGTGGTTTTCTTATAAACATTAAAAACAAGGATATTTTAAAATTTAATTTAAATACACATTCAAAACACAAACACCAAGCAGGTGCCTGGAGAATAAAGCAAAAAGAAGGAATGAAAAGTGAATTCAACCAGTTTAATTTCAACACCAAAGTTAGGTGGATCGCACCAAATGGAATAAATAATGGAGAAGATCACACTGGGGTGGCAGATCTCACACTTAAGATAATTTAAACTAGAATTAATTACACAGCCCAAGAGAGTACTGAATGAGGAATTCACTCTGACAAGTGATATTAGTTGGGACAGTGTCCCTTTGACAGAGCAGGTTGTAGGTGTGGATTTGCCCACTGCCACCCACCACTGATCCCCACCCAGGGAGCAAACAGGATGTTCTTGTGAAGCACAGGACTCACCCCCTCAAGTGATGGACACACAAACAGCTCCCTGCTCAGAGAATATGAACCCTCTGCCCCTTCCACACCCACTGCCTCCAGTCACACCCAAGGCAAACAGCAGAACACAACCAGACCAGACCTGGCAGGGTGACCCCACAGGTGCAGCATTTCTGCTGCAGCTCCACGAGGTTGGACAGTGCCAGAACTGGAGCCAGTGCCTCCTTCCACACACCTGGGATCAGGCTGGGAAAAAATCAGATCAGCTGATCTACACCTGCAGCTTTATCACTCTAGGGGTGGGCAGGCTGAAGGAATGTAAGTGGTTTCTTTTTGTTTGGTTTTTCCTCCCCACAACCCTGAAAAAAAAAAAAAAAAAAAAAAAAAAAAAAAAAAAAAAAAAAAAAAAAAAAAAAAAAAAAAACAACAAAAAACAAAAACCAAAAATAAACAACTTAAAAAACCCCACAAAAAAAAACCCCACCAACACCCCCTACCCCCAAACAAACTAATAAAAGAAAAACAGCCAAAAAAACCACCAAAAAACTCTCCCCAAAATAAAAATAACTTGATCCCAAGTTCCTCTCCCTTCCATGCCTGTAGCCAAGCAGGGAAGTACCTTTGGACATTCACGTGATCCCACAGACATGTTCCCTACAGAGCAGACACCTGATTTTTGCACGTCACCCGGATGTGCCTGTGACACCTAGTTAGGGGGGACATCCCTTTGCTTTAAAACAAAAATAATTACAAAATCAATAGGAACAGTCAGAATTCATTTAAGTCCAACTAGTTTTTAAAAAGGGAGAACGGAGGACTGAAGGTTTCCAGGCCAAGGAACTTGCCAGAGCCAGCATCCCCCCACCCCTGCCTCCAGCAGCAATGAGATAAGCCCCCTTTGTGCAGTTTTCACTCTTGACCCGAGGTCAGCAGAACCAAGGAGGGACTGAGGGGACACAGCTGCCCCTCCAGCTCCTCCTCAGATGGCTGGCAGCTCCAGGTAGAACGGGAAACTGAGGTGGATGAGGGTTGAAGTTATTTCTTTCCCATCTCTTCTCCTCCCCAAGACTGAGAGGAGACTTCTGGGTCTGCAAGCCCAGTCTGTGCTTACCAGTGTCCTTAAGAATGACAATTTAAAATCGATCACGGGAAATTAAAAAGAGAGAGAGAGGGAGGAATAATTAAGTACTGTCCGTGGAAGGAGCGGGAGGGGCAGGCTCCAGACGGCGGCAGGGAAGGGACTCTCCCTCCCCACGTCTGCCCATCTGGGCACCGGGTCCCTTCGCGTCCCCGCGCGAACCCTTTGTGCTGTTGCTCTGACATCGACCGACACGGATGGCGAACACGGGGATGAATCCAGCGCTGCAGAGGGCGGGAGGGCACACGCAGCCGCTCCGGGGCTAGGCCCGGTGCTTGGGGAGCATGTCCAGCAGGAATTCCGCGATGCCGACGAAGTACACAACTTGTGCGATGCCGAAGAGGGGAGCAATGACCAGGGCTCGGCAGTAAGCCCCTTTGAAGAAGGCCGTGGGCCCTTCCCTCTGCCAGATCTTCCTGGGGAGAAATGGCACAGACAGGTAAGTGTCCATCCCACCCCTCCACCATGCCAGGAGAGCCCCTGGCCAAGCCCTGCCTTTCTGCCTCCCTCCAGAGACTAAACCAGGCAAGCGCTGTTGCCTGGCACAGCCTCCACGGCAAATCACCCATCACTGCCCAAGTGCTCTGCAAGTGGCCATGCAGAAACCTGCCCCATCCCTGCATCTGGCTAGATGCAGGAGTGGCTGCCTGTGTCCAGAATACAGCTAAGACAACCCCATGCTTGCATCAAGAGGTCCCCCCACTCAAAAGCTCCTTCAGTATGGGACAGAGCCAGATGGCAACAGATTCTGCTACCACTGAAATACAAAAGCATAGAAGTCCTTTTGTGTTTTGAAGCAGCCAGACCATAGTTTAGCAAAGGGTCATGCAGCTGGGGACAGCACACTCTGGCCATGCTCCTGCAGACACTGTGCAGAGCAGTCCCAGGAGGGATATAAGACTCAATACTGTAGGATTTTCCAGCAGTGGGGCCTTGGGAGAGACTACAACATTGCCTCCCTTTGCAGAAATAAAATCTCAGTGTTATGACTACTGGGGTTTGGACAGAAGTACTTAAATATAAATGCTATATTTTTCTTGCTCAATATGAGAAGAAGTTCTCTTTTATAAAACTATATATACATCTGCTCATATATATCTCCAGATAAAGAGATAGATTGATAAAAGCACAGGGACAGAGGGAACATGAAGCACAGCTGCTGGTTGGGTCTAGAAGCTGCACTGCCTGCCTGGCAGCAGGTAGCAGCAGCTGCCAAACACCTGATGTGGTGCCTCTGTCATGAGGAGTCTTACTTGGTGCAGTCCAGGATCCCCGAGTAGGTGTCCTCATTCACTCCTCTCTGCAAGGACTGCAGCCGTGTTTTGATAACTGGGGAGGGAAAAAGAGGAGACACTGGTGAGCACTGGAAGCATAGCAGGCAGGAGCCACCCCAAAAGTAAGGTCTATGAAATGGTCAAAACAAAATTACCAAGACTACAGACCATTTTCATACATTTATCAGGGAAAACAAACCCATTCCTTTACAAATGGATAAAAGAAAAACAAAGCCACCCAAAACCCAACCCCTCCCTCCCTCACTGTGATCAAGGTTTCAAAAACTGACTTCAGTTTTAAACCTTCCAAATTCAGATATCACTCTGCAAAGTGGGAACTTATTTTCAACTGCTCATCTCCTTCAGGAAGTGGTATCTAAAATACACAATTCTGCTCCTACATTTCTTCACACCTTGGAGCATGTGCAGTGTTGGGGAGGGAGCAGTTACTTTCTGGTGTTTTTCACAGGAGAGAAACCAATGTGGTATTTAAGGCAGATGCTGTGGAGCAGGAGAAAAGGCCACAGATCTGAGGCTTCCCCTGTTTGTCCCAGACAATTTTAAGTCCACTTGGTCTGCATATTATCACTCCACATGGAAACGTGCCTTTCCTGCCAAGAGTAACTGAAATGAATTACACTCTCTTCCTGACATACCTAGTAAGTACTGCAAACCTCTGTGTAAGCTGTGGCAAAAGTTGTAACTCAGCTGAACTCACACCATCAGAGCTGGAGGCAGCAGAGCTGTCCCTTTCTGTGTGCTCATGCTGCAAAAAGGCTGGCACAGTTGCCCTCCTCCTCACCTGGCCCAGCCTGGGCCTCTGAGTCCTGTCACTTGGCACCAGGCCACCAGCACAGGCTGCTCAGGACTCACCATCACAAGGATTGACAGCCACTGCAGCCGTACTGCCGGCCACACATCCAGAGAGGAAGGACACGTAGAATGGAGCCTTGACATTGGGGTCTTTTTGACCCAGCTTGTTCAGGTTTGCAAACAGCGGGAAGTAAACAATGGAGAATGGGACATCCCTGCAGTGGGACAGGACCAAAAGGAAGAAAGAACAAGGATGAACAAAGACACCAGCACATTCAGAGGTCAATTGTTTTGACCACTTTTGTAAATTATGAGAAGTTCCTTCCTGCCCTCTATCCCCGTGGGTGCTGCTTTAGCTCTACTTTTGTTAAAGCTAGAGGAGAGTCACACTGTGAAAGCCCAGGCAAGGAGTGTCAGAGCAGGCACTGGTCCTTGCATCCAACATGCTCTGTGGCCCAGCTCCCACTGCACACCCTGGTGTCTCAGGCTGACAATTTTACTTTGCCAGCTCACAAGGACTTCTGCACAGTGTGAAAATACAGACCGTGGGGCAGACAAAAACCTTTCACAGAAAGCAGCAGAATTAAGTTTTCCAGGAACAAAAAGATACCATCCCTCACTTCTCTGACCTTCCCTTCTTTAATGTGCATGGAAAATGAACTAAACCAATCCACTCCTGCTGAAGCCAACACCTTTGCAGGCTCATTCCTGGGATGGGTGGTGGCTTAGGTCCAAGGCTGGGAACGCCAGAGCCCTGTCACGCCATCCTACCTTAGCAGCGTGGCTCCCAGGCCCTTGTAGAGTCCGGCGATGCCTTTGCTCCGCAGCAGCTCCCTGGTTATCTGGGTGGCTGTGGGGCGCCTTTCCACGGCCGGCTCGGCCGCCGCCGCCGCGGGGGAGGAGGAGATCTGGGCCTGCTGCGCCATGAGCTTCTTCTGTGCCGCTGGGGAGCAGAGCGCCAGCAGGTCTGCAGCTGCCCCACGGCAGCTCTGCTGCCCGGTGCCGCGGGACACAACATGCACACAAAGGCCAGGCAGGTGCCCTGCAAGCTTTTCCCCCCAGTCTGCCCATCTCCCTCAGCCTGTCCCAGTCTCTGACAGTGCTGCCACACCAGAACGCTGCCGGCTGCGCTCCAGCCCCAGCTGTTTTGCCCAGGCCTGTCACACACCATCTATGAGTGCAGAGAACAGGAGCTGCTGTGAGCAGGCAGGGGACAGTCCCTGCTTCCAGGTGTGTCTCTGAGCCTCCAGTATAACGAACAAGATGTTCATAAATGAAACAGTTTCCCCAAGTTCTGTTCTTTGCCTCCCTCCCCTGAAAGCAATCATTAACCTGGGGAGTTTGTCTCAGTCAGATTTATAAACACATCCTGGTTTCTCCCGCTTTTCCAACTGATGCACTTCGGCCCTTTGGCCAGAAGATGGAGAGCACTTCACTCTGTAAGTAATCCCTGGCACACCACAGCTCTCCTGCCACACAGAGAACAGGCTGTTCACAGCATCCAAAACCTCTCCTGAACCCTCAAACCACGGCTTAAATCCTTCCAACATTTTAAAATAATACACACAAAGAGGATAAGGTCTGCAGTAAAACCAGTGAAGAGAGAAAAGAAAATAAATCCATGATTATTCAGGAATGCCACATCAAATGAGAGATTAAAGGACAAACTGGCCCATTTTCCAGGAGGAGCCATAAGCATGGTATCTAGCAGCGTCATGCAGGGCTCCAGGGAAGTGAGGCCATAGCCCAGACTGACCTCTGGAAGAGACTACGGAAAGAGCAAGCAGCTCCTTCCCCTGGAGTCTCCATGCCAGACTCTGGTCCCTGTTCTCACCAGAAACACTACACAGTGCTTCAGCCAAAAGGCTCACACTCCCTCCTGCCTCTGCCTGCCAGCTCATGCCCACAGTCCCAAGAGCCTGATCCCAAATCTCATTCAAATCCAGTGCACTGGGAGTATTTTATTTACTGTTTCAATCAAGACAACTGCTGTTTTTGTCAGAGAGGAAAAAAGAGTACAAGGGGAGACAAGTCATTCGGAAATAACACATCCCCTTGGGAAACTGTTAGGGAGGTGCTACAGGGGGGTAGAAGAGAGAAAAAACAGACATCAGCAAACATGGAGATGGAGGAAGCAGCACAGGAAAGGCACTGGAGGATGTTAATCCCTTCTTGGGTGCACAGGATCTACCATGTTTGAATCACCCACAAGCTGACCACCTAGTCATCTCTCCTGTCTCTCCATTCACCAATAGCATTTGCTGTTTTGCTTGCCAAGCCCATTGCTTTGAGCAAAAAACCCACCACCTTTTATAACTGCAAGGGCCTCTGCAAAGCCGGCTGAGCAAAGTGTTGGGGGAAGTAAGCTGGGAAGAGGAGGAGAAACTTCTGCTACATCTGTGGTATCTCTGACGTGGGAGAGCAGGGGGAGGGAAAAGGGTTTTCTCCACTCATTCTCTCAGCTCTGCTGTGAAAGCTCAGTCCCAGCTCCTTCCCCTCTCCCAGCTCAGGGCACAGGGAAGAAAAGTTCACGTACCAATGCGTCCTGCATCCTGCAGCTGGATTTTGAGCATCTCCATGGGAGTGGTGACAATCACCTGGCAGGTACCCGCACCACAGCCTGCCAGCATCTCCTTCAGCAGTGTCAGCTTTTTCCTGCCCAAAGAAAAGAGAGAGTGTCCATCAGAGGAGGTGGCCAGCAATAACACTTGGGCAGCTGGGTGCAAGGCTCAGCTCGTATTTCTGACCTTGGGGGTTACAGGAAAAGCAGCCAAGGGGACAGCAGGACCTGCTAGGCCTGACAGTTCAGCACAACCCAGGCTTGGCATCTCTGCCAGCACTATCTGACCTGGAGAACAAGCTCATTTTTTCCCCAGAAACAGAACATTCAGAAAAGCCACGAGCCCTGTCAGAACAGCCCCAGACAGGAGCACACAGCCCCCTCCACACATAGCCAGAGCACTGCAGCTCTCTTCCAGCCTGATGGTGCCCCTGGTCAGGGCACAGCTTTCAGAAAGGGCATCACTTCAGAGGGCAGCAGAGGACCTGAGCATTAAGGGGAATAAGGAGCTTTCCACCTGCCAGCCTAGTCCTTTAAAAATTGTCAACAAACACAGACCACAGGACAAGGAACAAGGAGGGAAAATATTCCACTTGCTGCTTTGGAGTTCTCTGAGAAAAGCAAAATAAATAAACAGTGAATATGAATCAGGGATGCAGTTCCTCTGTGGTTAGAAGCTGTTTCATGTTGCTAGGTTTTCCAAGCCAGGACAATTAGCCTTTGCATTAAACTGGTCCTCCCTGAGAGACAAGGAATGGGATGGACCTCCAGCAACAAAGATTTGTGCATTCTATGCACTACAGAGCAGGGACTATCAGCAACATGTTCTCATGCAGCAAAATGCAGTATTTCATTGTTCCCTCCATTCCAAAGCTATGAAAGAGCCCAGCTAAGGCTAAAAAGAGGAATTCAAGATGCAAAACCTCATAAAATTTTCAGAAAGTGACGTGTTTTTGCTCTGTAAAAAAACCTCATGCTTTGGCACCAGAAAACACTGACTTGATTAAAAAGTACACCTGACCTGCTCTTTTCTAAAAGGGTTTAAAAAGGAAGTGTATATAAATCACACAGCCAGAGAGAAACAGCCTCCTCTTTTTTCTGTTTTAAATGGAAGTCCCATTTTTACCTCCCCCAGTCCTGCTCTGTGGAAGAAGCAAGAAGCAGTCCCACAATGATATTCCCCATTTCCTTGCACAGCCCAGGCACACTCCTCTGCCAGGGGTTTCACAAGCACACATACAGCACAGCTGTGGGGCAGTGGGCCAGTAAAGCAGTTTCATTGCCAACCCTGAAGGAAAGGGAGGGCAGATGCACTGTAATCCTGCTGGCCCACCACGTAAGCTGGGCTGATTTCCCCACCTCTCATCTTCTCTGGGGAGGATATGAGAGCAGGGGATTAAAGGCACAGAGCCACCACAGAGATTACCAGTGACTAAATATAGAGCTCTGCTATAATGCTGAAAGAAAGAATATTTCAGTCTCTCTTTTCCAAGTTTCCCCACAGATGAGGAACTGCAAAGAACAATTCCTCCCACAGAGTTACCCACACGGGTGCTGAAGTGTGTACAGCAGACTTTCCTGGAGGTGTGGGGGAACTAGGGTGTGCAAATCCAGAGGTTTCCACTGCCACTGCCACTTGGAGGTGGCCAACTTGTGTTTTTTGGGTGGCCTGAAGCACAGCACCAGTCTCTGAGTGGCTCGATACAGTCAGCAACAAGGCTGCACAATCCCCAGCCTGGCCGTGGGAGGAAGCACACCACCCAAAGGAGCTGGCTGCCAGAATCTCTCTTTGGCACAGCAGAGCATCTCCCACTTTAGGAAGAGCCCTGGAGCATCCCTGGTGTACATATCTTCTGGCTTTCATCCAGGGTGACTGCTTTGATAACTAGTTCAAAAGCTCAAGAGCCTACATATTCATCTTGGACCATTATCCCAGCCAACTAAAGTCAGCCATGGCTTGACTGAACTCCATGGAGTTATGCCAGTATGACCCAAGGAAGGATTTACACATGTGGGTGTATTTTAGAGATGTCAAACAGGTACATAAAAAGCATCTAGAACAAGGGCTTTCAGTTTTTGGTTTGCACATCCTGGGAACTGGGGAGAGTCCAAGAAAAAAAAAGTAGCTTAAAAGAAGCAAATCTTTTGACAGGAGGTTTAAAAGCTGCCATACAGGGGTCAAACTGCCTCTGCAAAACCTCACCAGTCTGCACATAAAAGGAAAGTTTGAAAACTGTTCCTCTCTATACAACAAAGGAGTTTAAATACTTAAGGCACCACTGGCCTTATCCTCAGTGGTTTAAAAACTGGCACATCTCAACTAACTTCAAAAGCTGCAACACCAGCAAAGATCTGGTCCTACAAATGCAGAAACCATCTTTAATCACAGCAAGAGAGTGTTAAATATAACATATACACAATAGCCCCAAATTCTGCTCTGGCAGAAATCAGTTGTTCTACATTTTTTACTGACATGCTATTAATTTGTGACAAATCAAAAATGTCAAATGGGAAGGGGAAGAGATTAATGCTTGATTTAAATTACAGTTTCAAACTGGAGCTGAAAAAGAATGTCAAAAAACAGGAACTAGAGGTTTATGGAAGGCTTTTGGGGAGCTATCAGGATTTCTGACAGCATTGACATATTGATGTCACGTGGGAGCAGTGTAGGATTTTTCCAAGTTTCTCAAAATCTTGACCATGTGGGAATTTACTGTGTTTGGGCAGGGACCAGAACCAGCTATTCTGGAATCAGGGTGACAACATTTCCAAAGAGAAAATCTCTGAGCTAAAGAAACATTCATACAAAGCAATCCATTTTTTATCTCCTATCCAAAAGGCTACTGTCCCCATCTTGGACATCACCCTCCTCATTCATAAAATAACCTCTGCCTCTGTCTGTCAGCCCAAGAAGTTGCAGAAAGCTCCCCAGAAGTTTCAAAGCAGACAGAGCTAGCTCCTTTCAAGCAATGTAAATAGTGAGTCTTTGATATGGATTAGAAGACCAGCACACAGGAGTTGTCCTTCACAGGAAGAGCACCCTCTCTGCCACAGTCACACGGGATGTGCACACAAACTGCCAGTCACTCCCTTTAATCCAACCCCTGGTTTTCCAAGAGGGAACAAGCTACTGCAACTGCACTTCAGAAAAGCTGGAGGTATGATGCTGGAAATGTAAAAGCAATACAGTTCCCACTACAAGCTCCCTCTCACTTCTAGCGTCAGCTCAAAAATGCCTCAGACAAGCCAAAGAAAGTACTGATGTGGAACAGATACATCTCAAGGTAACACTGCCAGATTAAATGTTGATCTGGAAGTCATTATTCCAGGTATGTACAGGAGTTCTGTGTTGCATGTTTGGACTAAGTCAAGAGGAGGCTGACTCTGTACCTGCATCAGGTTTGCCCTGGCAGCAAATCCTAAGTGTTTTGCTCCAATGAGAACATTTGTGGAAGTGAACAATGGACATGGCAACACGACGGAGCATGTTGAACACAGAAACAACTCACGTTTCATCCCAAGACATGTGTCTGGAATGATGACAAGGACAATGCTCTCCATTGGGTGCATTCTGTGATTAAACAGCACACCTCTATCTCCCTCCAGATTAACAGTTGAAAGTGCATTTACTTTTTGGCTGACCTTTGATGTCAACAGCTTCAACCCACTGCAACTGCCTGGGCTCTGTGTGCTAAATAAAAGAGCTCTCCCCAGACAGCTGTTCCTGAATTGGCACAGTAACATTATCATCTCCTGACCCCTTCTCAAGGGGAAGGGAGAGATTTCCCCACTTCCAAGTCTCAGTGAGTGGGATGAGGGCTACCTACATTAAAGAAGTGTCTGAGCATCCAGTGGGTAACTGCAGGAGAGGCTGCCTGGGCACACAAATGCCAAAGAAAGACCAAACAGTGTGTGCAGGGTGATACAGCAGCTCAACACCAGGACTAGCAGCAGCAGCACTCCTTCTTCCTAAACTGAGAGCCTCACTTTACAGCCTAAGAGTGTTCTGAAGCTCAAGGATCATGGAAGACATGCAACTGATACTTAAAATCATGCCACAGAAGAGATGGTCCAAGTATTTTAGGAGAGCCTGAAAGAAGAGCAGATGAAGGGAAGAGCCCTGGGGAGATGTATCAGCTGGGAAGGCAATGGATAACAAGCTCCAACCTCCACATCTGCACAAGACTGAAGGAAAAATACCTTGCTTGTCCCAGGATTACCAGTTGGCTATTTCTCTTCCCTGTGCAAAGGATACAAGACAGGAGGAAGCAGAATGGAAAAAAATTTGCTGGCATCAGCAGAAGCAGAATTAAGTCAGTCATGCTGGTCTTCCTAGGAATCCGAGCTGCTAAGACAGCAGATTGCCAGCCTTTGCTTCAGAACAGCAAATAAAATAAAGGTCAAGATTAAAGAGGACAGGATAAGCAAGGGAATAACACCTTGGAGAAGAGCAGCAGGAAACTCATCCAGGGACACTGGAAAGTTTTTATGAGCAACAAATTGCTTATGTAAGAAGGCATGAAACACTTTTTACTGCAACCAAGGCAGAATATTTAACCAAGAACCTGAAAAATGAACAAAATCTGGAAAACACATGCCCAACAAAACAGCTATCTGGCACTCCACACTTTGGGAAATGAACACGAAACCTTGTAGGACACTTTAAAGGAACTGATTTTTTTAAGTGTTTAACATCTAGATTCAAAGAGGATATAAAAAGCAGGTAATACTTAAATCAATCAAAGAGACCTTGCACACTGAGCACCCAATAATCAATGATGTACTTTAAATGCTGATCAATGCTATCAATCTAAGCTGCCTTCTCAGCTTCACACACAAGTGCTTCATAGTCAAGCACTTCAATTAGCCCTGGTGACTCTTCACATCCTCTGTTCTGGACAATGAAGCCACTCCTATTTTACCAGTAGCCATGAGACTGAGTCTCTTAACACATGCAGCTTCAAAAAGCCAGAGTTAAGAAATAGCTCATCTGTTTCCAGCAACCTGAGGACTTTCCCTTCTCTCCACATTCTGCCTTCCCAGCCTAGTGAAAACTCTTCCCCACAGAATGACACAGGAACAAAGACCTTCCTGGAGACTTTCTGTGAGCCACCTTCTTCTCATGGGAATTGCAGAGGTCAAAATCTCCTGGGAATCTTAGGTCAAAATCATCACAGGAAATCACATGACCACTATCGCCTTTGTCAATCATGGTCATGGGGTGCCCTTCAGGTTTTTCAGTATCTTGGTCTCCCTCCTCTCCTCCATGACATAGAAAGATAGAAAGCATGTTTTCAGCACTCACACAACTCACTCATTCCTAAATGACCAGGACAGCTTGGAAGGACCAACTCAGTTTTGTTTCTTGAGAAAACAAAAAAGCTGTAGCTGTAGGCTGTCATAATAGCCTTGACATCAAAATAGGAACTGGCAAAGAAATAGAAACTGGCCAAGAAGCAGAAATTACCTCCCCCAGCTTGTAAGCACACATGCTGCCTGCACCAAAAGGAGGGGAAAAGCATGGTATGGGCAGGAGTGCCTCCCTGAGTCTCAGGGTAGAGAGGGCTGCAGGAACACACATGGCACAGGGACAGTCTCAGGGAGAGAGCTGCACCAACAAGAGCATGAGATCTCTTGTGAGGACCTGCTGCCCCAGTGCTGTACCCCCAGCAGCGTCCAAGAGCAGAGTCAGGGAAAAGGGAGTCTAGCACAAACCTGCAGTGGTAACATCCCTAAAATACTCTTCCAGTAATGTGCAGTCAGGAGCTTCCTACGCTGCAGGTGCTGTTTTCAGTCTGGCCTTTCAAAAATAGGCCTTATGCCACTTTTTTATCCTAGCAGTTCAAAAGCAATTTCAACACTAAGTTTTTCAAAGGATAAAAATAAATACATTAATGCACACTGAAAGCTGTTGTTTAACTTGAGGCTACTTTGAGTCATGCTGGATTTGCCACACTCTCTGGTCCATACATGCTGCCTCCTCTTGCACACTGAGGTCTATTTTAATACCACATATTTTAATCAGCAAATACTGGTAGAACATGCATATTTTATAAGAAAAGTATTACCAACTCATGCAACGTATTTCAAGCAAGAAAAGTGCTAGATGCTTAGCACAAAGGCATTCAATGTAAACAGGTCTAGAAGACTTCTGCAGCTTTGAGTCAGAGCATCCTTTGGGATACTGACCTAAGGGCACAGCATCTATGAATATACACAGCAGACAGACTGGCTTGTGCAAAAATGGAGCTGAGCCAAGATCTTGCTGATCCACCCTTACATTGATCCTAACCCCCTAACTGTGCTTTGCCCAATGCAACACCTTGACTCATGCAATTACAGATCAAGAAATGAAACCACATTAATGTGCTAGTCTGAACTGTCTAGAACTCTTTCTTTAATGGTAGTACAAGGTATGCCAGCTTGGCACCCTGTTGGGCCTGTACAAGCTACTAAGCCCTGACTTTGTAGGTGGTGGCAAAGAGCTGTGCTGCTGTTTACTGCAGTACACCAAGGTGTGCTGGGCTGTCTGCTGCAGGGATGAGACACACCACTTGGTAGAGGACATCATTACCTCCCACTGTCTGAACAGAGCACAGAAGAGACACTATTCAAAGACTTGAGTCAGAAAATCACGAAGAGCTGTGAGCCGATGAGTCACATGGACATATGTTAGCTGCTACTTTAGAGGACTCCAGAACAAAAGAAAACAAAAAATAAAAGGTGCAGGAAAAAAGTGGATTCTCAATCTGTGTCAGTCCACAATCTCCACTGAAGTTGTTGAGGCACTGATCTGCAGCAGCCAAGACTGATGTGATACGTTTTAGGAAGTTGTTAAGACCAGTAATTGTGCTGGAGCTTTGTATTTTCACTGAGGCCCCACCCCATAATTGTTGATGGGAATTACTGGGATCCCATCCCAAGCAGGCTGTCATTTTAGCTACTGTCACTGAGGACTGGAGAAAATGCCCTTGTCTGCCTTTGGGGAAAGGCCTCTCTCTGATGGGAGACACAACTATTTCCCATGCAATTTGGAAAACATCTTGCTGAAAGCAGCATTAACTATTCATGATCCAGCTACTCTCAACCGCTCCAGCTTACGCCTTTTACTCACATCTAATTCATATGAACCAAACTCCATTTGCAAGCTGAACAGGTAATTTTATTTCTTCAGTATTTATTTGAAGGTCAGCTGCTGCAAGTGCCCTTAGTCAATTCAGATTTGCCACATCTCCAAAACTATTTTCAAGGTACAAAAGGAGAAGAGGGTGCTAAGTTTGGGATCTACAGAACTTGACTTGGTACCTTTTTGAGCCAGAACAAGCATAAGAGGATCCAACAGGATGCTGAGGACAAAAGTCCTCCCAGCAGCTGTTTGAGCAATGATCAGTGACATTGGGTTCCTCTCAAATACTTAAGACTACACATGCTGGATCTGCTAACCTTGGCTTAAATCTGGGACTATTTTTAGAAGCTTGAATAAAGAGCAGTCATCTAGTGGAGTACTTCACACTTCCCATTTTAGACATTGCATCCTTAGCCTGAACGTAATCACCAGCTGAGCTGTTCAAGGTCAACTCATATTTCAGTCATTGCACTATCCCATTCCACCTTTTCCTGATGTCTCACCAGACGTGTCGCAGGAGTCGGTGTCTTTTAAGTTGACTGCAGAAGGTCAGTTCCCTACTTACCCGTCTTTGGAGAGGTGATGCCGGAAGAAGTCATTGGCTGCCAATTTGATAGCCTTTTCTGGTGTCACTAGAGTCAGGTTCACTGCAGCCCCTGGGCAAGGAAAAGAGAAAAAGGCCATTGGATAATGAGAATTACGGAATTGTTAACTGGTTCTTTCAGGAATGTGTTGTAACTTCTGCACAACACCAAGACAGAAACAGGAAAGCTCCCAGTGCAACACAGGGATTTAGAAAAACAAAACACCACTGAAAATTAACAAGTGTTTCTGCTTCCCAACACCTAGAGTTTGTAAAAACATCCCCAGATGTGTTTCTACTCCATTTGCCATATGTATTTTGTAATTTCTTCAGCTTCACTACTACCTCCCACCATGTATACATGCATCCTTGTCTCTCATCCAAGGATGCACTCGTATGAATTCAGAAGGATGTAGATCAAACCTTCAGAAAAGGAGTACAAGATGGTTTAACAACCAATCCCAACTCCTTTGCAAGTATTTTGTGATACTGAGAAGCAAAAGACCCCCTGTCCTGCCTTCTCAATGGATCCCTTCCCTACTTCCTCCCCAAAAAACACATGAGCAGCTTGAATTCTAAGCAGCTCAGAAAAGGAAGAACCATTGAAAGACCTGGAGGCTGGCTGAAGTCACCGGGCTCATCTACACAGAATCAGCTCTAGACTAGCCTTAGAGCAAGGTGGCTTCCCCTGTGTGTCACCACTGGGTGTCACCCCCAGAACAGCCATGACTGAAGTGCCTTTTTGCCCACCACACAGAAATTCCCCTCTGAGCTCCATGGCAAGGCTTGCTGAGGGACCTGGGGTGTAAACAAGCCTTGGCTCTCTGCATCCCCCACCCGCTGGAGTGCTCTTTTGTCAGGAGCAACAAACAGCAAATCCCTGTATTGTGCCTGTCACAATGAAAGGGCTGCATGGCCAAGCTGGCTGCTGTGGGCCTGAACACCGGTATTAGTGCAACATTAGTGCGACATCGTGGCTGGGAGCAGCTTTCAAGCTGCCCTGGGGGAATTGGGGTGAGGGAATGGCCAGTCCCTTCCCAGCAAAGTGGGGTTTGCACCATTAGATTAACACTCCAGAACATTCTCCTCCATTTAAATCCCAAAGCTCAAAAAGTCCTCCAGTGGATAGCCTCAAGCTCTCCCTACCTGCACTGAAATGTACCGAGCTCCAAGCCCTCCAAACAAGCTACACTTGAGACTAGTTAATAGCCTAGAACACCTTTGTAAGAACAAACACAAATACAGGCATTTATGCTTGTCTTTGAGATTTAAACAATTTATCCCAAAGATTCATATTCCAAAGGGAAGCAGCCAGAGAAACCTGTACCCTGACTAGGCTCCAAAGACCTGGTGGGGTTAATTTTCAAGACCTTTGAACCCAAGTTGACAGGAGCTATAAGGGCTAAACACACCTAGAAAAAGTCAGCTCAATCCTTTATTCCTCAAGATGGACTCTGCTCCCTTAAAAAATTGAAAGACACAGGTTTAGGGGGACTTTCCTCAGATTAGGAAGCAAAGTCACAATGGGACTTCTGGGACCACTACAACAGGGAGTGGGACACAGGGATCCTTGGTTCCACATCCTCTACTTAGAGGACACACCTCCACCATTCAGAAAATTGCATCAAGAAAAGACAGCCTTTGCAGCATGGGCAGCCCAACACATCTTCCCCCTTTCCAACTCCCATGTTCAGATTTTGCAGGAAATACAGAGCAGTGTTGCCTTGCAGCAAGCCAAAGCAATGCTTCATTCCACAGTGGCCATGACATCCGTCAAATGCCATCATCTTTCATAAATCAACTAGCAGGGAGCAGGGCAGGTCTCTCACATTTCTGGTTCTCTGCAAACTTTTAAGGGCACCAATGATTGTGCTACTTCAGTTTGATATTCTTCCTACACATCATGTCCTCTCTGCCATGGCTCCTGCACACAAAGAAAAGCAACAAGAAATGACCTGCACACTCCACATCCACCTTTTAATGCCAATCCTATCAGGATCCACAAAGCAAATCCACACAGCCTAATTTTAAGTGGAACCCATGAAGTGTTTCCTCAAATGCCAAGTTGATGACAACTTCAATGACACTCCCAATGGCTGTGAAGTGAAACACCTGTACACTGACACAGCATGAATAACCCTTTCCTTGGAAAAACAAGAGAAAGGAAAAAAGCATAAACCTTCTACTCTTAACACTAGTGCAAAGGGTTCACTGAAAGAAAGCAAACAAACTCCAAACTATCAAGCAAGAAGTACACTTCCACACTCTGACCTCCTTCAGGAACCAAGAGACTTTCACAAAGTTTCTTTTCAATTGCAAATAAAGCAGAGGGTAAAAACACACAAATTACAGGAAAAAAGTTAATGAACCTGAATTTTCTCCTGCATCTTTGATATTTTCAGCAAAGCTGCTTAGCAGAGAATGGATAATCCCTGTCCTGAATAATCCATAACAGCTTCATTTTACTGGAGGAGGAGAAATTAGATACTCCAGCTGCTGGCTGTATGCTTTCCACATCATCTTCTTCTTTTTGTAAAATCTCTTCAATTCTGCCCATGCCAATGGGTACTTCCCTAACTAAAGCCAACCTTGGCCTACAGGCAATGCTTCATGTACCACAAGCAAAGACAGACCAACAGAATGGAAAAATAAACAGGAATCATTAAAAAACAAAGCTTTTTGAAAATAAGTAAGGAAGCACTACAAAGATCAAAATCAACCAGGGCAAAACTAGCTGTCTGCCAACTAAACTTGTAGGCACCCTCTTCTCACCAAGCCCTGTTTTTTTATTAAAACACATTTCTCACAGAAATCCTTATACACCACCAGCAACCTACCTAACAGGGAGACTGAGTCATCCCCAGTGCAGCACTGGGACATATTATTAGCAGAGGCCAGGGAAGGCTGCCACACTACTGCAGCTGAAGTGCAGCTACCCTCCAAATGTCACCAACAGCAAAGGGAACTTCCTCAGCCTGATCTGGGCCTTTGGCTCCTGCCAGCTTGGCTAAACGCTTGGTCTGCAAACAGCACTGGGATTGCTCTGAACATGTGCTGGGATCTTTAGGTGGCTTCTGGCTGGACTGCATTAGGAAGCTGAGAGAGCATCTCTCCAAGGTCCCCTATCACTGATGCCCTTGGGGACCAGGAGCCCACAGGCACTATGGATTCATTCACATGGCATCATATTTTAAGGCTGCACACCATCACTTCCTTGAGCACAGATGGGGCTAGACAGCACCATCCAGCATCGAGGCACTGCTGCTATACAGGTGGCATGGGAAAAAGCATGAGGGAACTCCTCTTCTTCCTGTCCCAGACAAATCCAAAAATCTCTGCAACTTCTGGGGAAGAACTTGAGAGAAATTTTGGGATTGCCTTATACATCACACAGTTTGCTATGGGCTACTCATAGAAAGCAAAGACTGCTTGCCCACACAAATATCTTAAGAGGTGATTTGCAGAAAAGCATCCTACAAACACAAGCCACTCTCCTGTCTGCACTGAGGAGATTTGATTCACACATGAAGAAGCCCTGAAGTCACACAGCAGGAATGGCTGTGCCCAAACAAACTCTTTCTCTCCTCTGACAGAGGCCAAAGGATCTGCAGGGACAACTGACGTGCTTGTGACTCCTCCATGGGGAGCAGCAACTGCTACTTTAGCACATTAACATATAATCCTCCCAATTTCAGATTAAAGCCTGCAAATAAGAGCTTGTGAGTCATTCAGCAAATTCTGCTGGGGAACTAGGACAGCTGGAGGGAGCAGGAACCAACCCACCACCCAATTTCCATATTTCTCTGTCTGCAAGGCTCAGACATCTCTTCACCTTCATTCCAGTAAAGAATCACACAATCTTCATGGATCTTGGATGTATTTTACCCACCAACCCTCTCCCTGAGAGGGAGGGAAGGGCTTCTCATGTCAGCTCACAGAACTGAGGCACACAGAGCAGGATTGTTGCTCTTGGGAGTATTAACATTGGCACCATGACCATGCTGAAGTATCTATAACTTTCTGGAAGGAGCTGGAGCTATTAAAAAAAGGCCTCTCCAACCCAGCTCCTGATTTAATAGTCAGAAGTAATTTCAAGCAACTATCAGCACCTTGAACAGAGTTAGGGACATGGACCAAGTTGCCCAGACTTGGGAAAGGTGGGGGAAAAGAAAGAGGTATGCAAAACCCTCTGCATCCTTTTGCTTGGGGATGACAAGTGGCCTGGAGATTCACATCCTCTCTACCATTCTAAGCGTCAAAGGACTAAGCTGTGTCTCCCAAAAGTCTTGATTCTCACAAAAACTCTTGGTCCTACAGTCTCCCCTGTAAGTTTCCCCAAACAGCTTATTCTTCCTGCCAAGCAGCCTGCCAGGGCACTTTTACAGCCAAAGTTAACACAAGCTTGAAATCCTGGCTAGGAACACAGAAGCAGCCAGATTCTGGGAAAAATCAAAGGGGAACACGTCACTGCTAGCATCAAAGATGGAGCTTGCCAGGGTTCCTTGAGGTTATTTGTCTTGTTGCCTGCTCCCAGGAAAGCTGATGCAAAGCAGCCAATCCATCCCTGCCATCCACCACACTCCCCTGAAACGCCTACCAGGAAGTTGGGCAAGAGATGCTGCCTGAATATCCAATGCCTGCTCCTGGGCTGGCCAGCCACAATGCCTTGGTTTCCTTAGGAGTAGGAAAGAATCAGCAAGAGACACTACACATGCCAAGAGCAAGGTGCCAGCATCTCTGGACTTCCACTTGAAAAAACAAAGAGCAAGGACTCAACTTAATGATAGAAGCTTAACTTTAATCAGGCTTTATCAGAGACTGACTGCCACCAAGAATGCTATCTGAGCACCCCAGATAGAAGCTGCATATGCAGGCAAGTGACTATCAGGACACAAAATGAACCAGAGCTCAGGTCAATGAAGCCAGTTGGAGTGTGCTGCAAGCCAAGGATGTATTCCATGTTTTCCTCTACTACAAGTGAAGTCATGATTTGGCCTGCTGGCATCCTCTCCTCAAAATCTTTAAAAACTGACAGGGATTTTGTGTTTAAACTACAAAAGGTATAATGTCAACTGAGGAATTCACTGCTATAATAGACAGCCTAAGCCAAGGAACCAAGAGATTTCTAGCAGGTCAGCATACAACAACCAAACAGCTAAAGCTCAACTCTGAACCAACCTCTGATTTTCTTACCATCCCAAGGGAGTTTTTCTGGAGGTCAGGTTATTTAATTTTTTTTTTTTTTTTAATTGCAGCTTGTCTTAATGCTTGAACAAGGCACTTGGGCATGCTTGAGACAGCAGGTCTGACCATGCTGGTGGAGGGTTTTGACATAAATTCAATCATTAACCACAGAAGTTTAAGAGCTGGTTAGCTACTGCCCCTCTGTCAAAAGTTACCATGCCCAAGCTGGGAAACATAATATACAGTCCTGAAACAAAGTCCAGCAGCTTCAGTTAAAATGCTAGTAAAGATGAAGTTCACTAAGTTTTAACACCAAAACAGTCATGAGGAGGACTCAAGTCCTCAGTGGTAGGTATCTGAATAGACATCTGCATTGAAGAGTTTATTTTAGAAACAGCTGCACTGTTCAACCTCCTAGGATATTGCCAGGTTATTGCTTTATATGCCAGAGAACAGAGCTTTGCCTCCTACTTACGCACCAGTGCTTCCAACGCAAAAGCTGTGCTGTGCCTGAGTCAGCTGCACTCACCTCTGTACATACCAAAGTAGCCTTCTGAACGAATTGTTTTAATGAGGCAGTCGGACCTGCAAAAAGAACAGAAGGAGATGAAACACAGGACCTCAAAGGAGGGTGAGTGCAGAGAAAAACAAAGCACATTTCTTGGAGTGGTTTCCATTTACATTCTGTCAGCAAAACCCTCAGCTGAGACGGGAACTGCATCTGGGAGCCTCTGAATGTGCCATTGCTGAGGGCTGAGTACAATTTCAATCCCTAATTCACCGGGGCTTTGAAACCCCTGGCTCACCCTGCACACACTGTCTGCTTCCTAGAAACACAAAAGGGAAGAGTGTCACTGAAGGGTTGTTTATCCAGGGTCCCCTGTGGCAAATGCACATGAGATGCTCTAACAAGCAGACCCCCATGTAAGCATTTTTAAATCCAGCTCTGGAAGGGAAATGAGGGGAGACAAACCCCTCATGCTCACTTGTTTGTCTTACTCTGTGAAATTTGACACAAGGCACACAAACATGAGATGACCTGAACACTCAGTCATCTGTGGCCTCCCACAAAGATTAAAGCAAGCACTTTTAACACATCAAGTACCACAGCAGGCAGCAAGCACTCAGGCTCTTGCCCTGAGGAGAGCGCGCCAGGGTGCTGTGCTCCAAGGGGAAAACTGTCACCTTCCTTATTGCAAACACATTTACACAAATGGGAAAACCCTGCAGAGCACTGGAATGGCTCAAAGGCTTTGGAAGGCACAGACACACACACCTAGCAAATCCAAAGTCACGGTTCAGGAAGGTTGCAGAGATTCCCTGGCAGGGTTTTCCTCTCTGGACCACAGCTGCATGAAGATGGGATGCTGCCTTTAGGATCTTTGGGAAGAGACAGGTACTTGCTCTAGCCATAGAGGAATGAAGAGGTGCACATGCATGAATGTGTACATAATTTAACAAATAAAAGGTTATTTTAAGCAGCAATAAGAGAAATGTGGCTGATGAAAACACGAATACATTTTTAAGAGATTTGGCAACACAAGGAGTAAACTTCTCAGTTCTGCAGTAGTGCTGAGGTGGAAGAAAAGGAAATACAGAGCTCCTTTGAGGTCTTTATAGCTGTACCTGGGCAAAGACTGTTCTAAAGGTATTTGTGAACAGCCCATCTTGCATTGCTACCAGTCATGGCAATGAGTTTCCCCTCTTCTAGGACTCCCTGAATCCTTTGGCGTCTCCTCTTTCACACATTCCACCCAGCACCTGCAACTTGCACATACTTATCCCCTTCTGAGCAGCCCCTCCAACACATCAGCAAGCCCCAGAAATCTCAGTGCACCTTTCCCCTATCCCTTCCATCAAGTTCTCAGACTGCAGTGCTGGAGGCAACACATTTTCCCTGAGCCAGGGATGCTGCTTTGAACAAGGTGCAGCAGGGAGAGGAGTGAGAAGAGCTGCTCCCCAGCATATTCATACAGCCCTGCCACATCAGGATAGAGCTTGCATGTCACTTAAAACCCTCAAGCTGCAGCAGAACAAGATGCAGCCAAGGCCACATCCAGATTTCTTCTCTCTCTGGAAAAAGGGAGCCAACAGCCAACTAAAATGATACTCAAATAAAACCTCCACAATAACACACCTGGGGCAGCACAGCCCAAAAGCCAAGCTTTCTTCATCCCTCAGAAGTCCTCCAGTGTCTTTGTCTTTTTCAAGTGAAAGGTTCCCCTGATGCCAAAGATGTCTTGAGCCAACCAGAAGTAAGGCATGCTATCTTGAAGTAAGGCATGCTATCTTAAAGTAAGAGAGCCAAGATTTTAAAGGAACATGCTGCCTTTCCTGGGTATTCAGCGGACACCACATAATTGGTGTAATCAGGAAATCTAGTATTGATGGGCATGCAGCATTTCCAGAAAAATAAGCTGCTGTAACAGGGGAAACTTTCTTAGGAAAGCTCAGCCCTTCCTATTCTTAGAAGCAGCCAGTTCAAATATACAAGGTAAACCTTATGTTTTCCTTAACAGCTCCTCATATCACAGCAATTCCTGGCTATGGAGCTGACTTGCACTTGACTGCTGGAGGTTAAAAGCCTCTCTCCTACCAAGCTCCCTTCCAGGCATGAGAAATCCTGGCATGCAGTCCCAAGGGGTGCCTACAAGCTCTTCAACCTGCCCAAACTACTCCTGCTGTCAGGTCACAAAGATAAGGGATCCTCAGGGAGGTGAAGCAATCTACAGTAGGAGCAGGACACAACAAAAGGGGATGCAAAGCAACATGGGTGGCCACATCCTGCCAACAAGTCAGGGCACACTGACAGCGCAGGGAGCTGAGAGCACAGGAGCCTACAGCTTAAGCTCATGTCATCAGCTAGAGCAAGGAGGCACAGAGACTAAAGCCATCAGCATAGAGAGCATTTCCTTTCTATTCCCTCTCTGCCTCAAATTCTCCTGGGCAGGAAAGAGGAAAAGATGGTGTAGAGGAGCAGGGATCAGGTTACACTTGTTCTAAACAAAGTTGTAGCAAGATAGGACAAACCTCACCAGGCCCAGTGCCTTCTTCCCTTCAATACCACAAATTCTTTTGGAAAACTGGTTCTCAGGATAAAGCATCTTGTGGTTAAGTGTGGTACACATTCCCACAGCAGATATGCAGCTCTAAGCACTTGACACAAACTCCAAGTGAATTTGGTGGGCTGGATACACTCATGCCTTCTTTTCCTATAGGTGCAGTACCTGAGGCATTTTTAGACACTGGATGGCTGGTCTGACTATAGCATGTGTCAGCCTATGATCCTTCAAAAGGCCCACATGCAATGCTCTAGACTGGGAATGAGCAACTGCTTCCTCTTTTTAACACTGATACAGCAAAGGAAGGATCTCCAATATCAGACCAATGGAAACAGAACAGAGGAAGAAACTCCCTCAGGCACCTGACTAGCTCAGCAGACTCCTTGTGTTTGGGATCAGGTGATCAGGATTCCTTGTGTTTTGGGTAGTGAAAACGCTGCTCCCGAACAAGGGATGCAAACAGATGTACCCTCTGCAGAGAACTCCTCTGCTTGGCTCAGCAGCCTCAATAGCTGCTCTATTTGCTTCATCTGCTCTAGCACAGCTTGGCTCCAGACTGTCCCCTGGCTTTCCTGAGGACAGTCCAGTTCCTAGAGATGCTGAGCTCACCTGAAAGAGGTAACAAAGTGGAAGGACTCCCCAGGGAAAGCCCCGAGGGATGGTGCCCATGTGGGCAGTACTCACAGGCTGCTGTACATCCGTTGACCATTCTGCTGGTTCTGCAGGCGAGTTTTTGCCAGGTCAATTGGAAATACACAGGTGACCCCAATCAGCCCAGCTATCCCTCCATTGATCAGCTTGGCAGGTAAACTGTAAGGGGATGAGAGAGAGAGAAACAGATGTCTTAGCACTGGGTAATATCAGGGAAGGGAAAGAGGAAAGAGCTGAGCTCTTTTGCATGACTAGAGTTAATGCATTGCTGTGAGATAAAGCTGTCCCTCCCAGCACAAAGGAAGCTCTTCCACAAAGCAAAGCTTGGTTCCTGCTGTGTATATGGGGAGGCAGAGAAAGCTGCACATACCATCAGCACAAACCACTGATGAGTGGAGTGGAGCCAAACACCTAACCCACACATTACCAGGAGCAGGAAAAAATCCTGTTGACCAGGACCTGGGGATTTCTGTAGTCCCTAGAGGAGAAAAGACTGAGTGCTGGACCATCTACCACATGGACAGCCTTCAGTTAGGGCCTGATGGCATCTGAGCAAGCGGGTTTACTGACAAACGCTTTCCTGCACCACAATCAGATCCGCAGCTAATGAGAGGTTCGTGATACATCAGCTGCTACCGTCATGTGGGAATGGCCCAGCAGAAGCACCCAGCTGGCAGCCATGGAGCAGATGGCCACAGCCACAGGAAACTGCTTCCAGACCAATCTCCCAGGGCCAGGGGAACACACACACACACAAAGCAGCAGCCCAGCAAAACCACCGGGCTGGCAGCCTGCATGGCCGCAGATGCGGAGATGTGAGCTCGTACCTCTGGGGGAAATCAAAACCTGGCTCATTGCACGTGCTTCTGAAGCACAGGGCTTTTTCCACTCCCCTTTGTGTTCCCACAGAGAATTCTTGCAAGTGGCACTGAGCAAAAGCCACGTCAGTTAAACATGGGTTCCCAGCAAATTCAATTAAGAAAAATGTCCTGCACTTACATGCTCAATAAACCACTGCACACAGAGACAAAGAAAGCCTGTTTGAGTCAGCTCCCTCCAATAAAGCACAGGATATGGCTCCCTGAACACAGGATGTGTCAGATATTAAGCTGGTGGCTGACAGCAGTCCTAGACTGCAGCTGGGTGAGCCTGCGAGGCCTATCCTCCCACTGGGGGAACTGGCACACTGCCTTTCATGGCGGTGACTGGCTGTTCTGGATGGGGGGATGGACTGCATTCCCCTCTGGAAGCAGCAGTGCTGAGACTGGCCAGGCATGGCGGGGTGAAGCCCTGCAAACATCTTCACCCCAGCAGCATTCTAGAGCACTCTGCATCAAGGGGCAAATGCAGAGAGCATCAATAAGGAGCCATGCCTGAGGGAAAGGCAGGATATGGAGACTCAAGGTTAAAAGCCTTTGTCCAAAAGGGCTAAGCATGATCTTGACACCTCAAATCTACATACTGACATACATTTACACACTCCTTTCAGCCTCTGCTGTCCTGCACCTTAAGCTCCTTCCTCCTTTAACACCAATGCAACACACACAGCCCCAGGGCCAGCACAGCTGGAATAAGAAGTGTCGAAGACAGGAAGACAGATCTGAGCTCAGCCTATAGCTCCAAACTAGACAGTGCTGACTGAGATTAAATCAGCACAGTACTTCAGGAAGGCAGGCCCAAATCAGTGCACAAGCTCAGTGCAGAGCCAGGCTTTCAGACCTCACCAGCTCCAGACTGTTGCCTCAGGGATCTTTATGCCACAGTCTGAGAACAGAATAGATTTGCCTGCAAACTCCTACACTCAGCTTGTTCTCAGGACATAGGAAAATTTCAAACAGTAAGCTTCACATCATTGTGTTCTCTTTATTTAACCTACAGTCAACACTGAAGGAGGAGGTTAGAGACCAGATAAAAGTGTGCCAAGATGGAGACACCACAGAGAAGGAAGATGTTGAAGACAGGATCACATCAGCCTCCCCAAATTCAGCTCTGAAGTCACTATTGGCAGGCCACAGACTGTGAGGCACCACCAGTGCCCCCTTCCAGCCTCAGCACTGTTATCGCTTCTCTAAGTGTCCCTGAAACACCTAGGACAAGCAAAGACTTGCCTTTCTCAACCTGTTCCAAAAGTGAAATCATCACAGGGTTTATTTTAGGTGGGACTGAGACACAGACACAAAGGTCCTGCCTGCTTCTACTGTACGTGCAAGAGATTCCCCAGTTTCAGCCCAGACCCCAGCAGTAAAAGGGAATCATCTGATGTGCCTGGGCAAGCCAAAAATCTGAGGCTGCAGACAACCTCTCCTTCTGGCTGTGGGGGAGAAACCCTTGCTCAATACTCCCACCACACCTGAATCTAACCATCCAGATCTCCCCATGAACTGCAGGGGGACACTAGTAGGGATGGGCGTGGGGCAGTATCCAGCAAGACACTGAGATTAAGTTCCACATGCACTGCTGCAGAAATGCAGTGCCTTTGATCTCACCATGCAGCAAACCACTGCTGTTGATTTTAGTCCTTTGCTGTCAATTTTGTTCTACTAAGGGGTGACAGAAAAAAATCTGCTTGGTTTGGCTGCCTGTGACCACTGAAGACACATGGTCCCATCAACTGGAGAGATGACCAAAGCAGGAGTGGTGAGGGATCTGAGGCACAGAGAAGAACATCAGACAAAGACCACTGCACCTGAATCAAAAGCATTTTCCCCTGTGACTGAGTCATCCCACTTCACACATCAGTGCTTTCTGCTCTCTCAAGGGATAAGAATACACTGTGCCTGGTCTCTCTGGCCTATTTAGCTTCTGCACAGCTACTGCCTCTCACTACCTATGTGTGCAGGGCTTAGTGAAATGAGGACAACACTGGCTAGCATGCAAATAAAGCCATTTGCTCAGTTTAATACAAGAAGGGATACAAAGGCATTCCAGTTCTCCTCTTCTAGTGCTCCTCCTCAGTCCTTTTAACTAGTCCCTGTAGCCAGCAAGCTCCTGCTCACACTGCCAAGAGCACACTGGAGGAGCCAGGACACATCTTGCAGGACACATCTCCTCTTGTAGGACATGTCTCCACTTCCTTCAAAATACCAAGCTTCAAACAGTCACAGACATCTGATCCTTTTGCTTTGCTGAGGTTATCGGGAGCATAGACCTGCCACCTCCAAGGAGGTGAATCTGAGCACGCCCTTCATGGGTGTGTTGGAAGAGTTCCAAGTGCTCTCCGAATTGGATAGCAGATGATGGCTAAATCTTTTTTATCAGCACAGTTCAGGATTGTTTACATTTGCAGAAGACAGGCGTACAGGAAGATATCCTAATCATGGCAAATGCTAAGAAGGGGCAGCCCTCTCGCCTGCAGCATTCGGGCACTGCCAAGTCCTGTCCCTCTGTCTCCATCTTTCATTCACCCACTCACCCCACCTGTCCTAAGCTGGTAACCTGGAAAAGTAGATGTTAGAAAAGCAACATGAAAAACCCCACAGGAATCCCACAGCATGCAGGAGTAATTTAGCTGGGGCAACTTCACAAGCAGCAAAAAGTTAAACCCATGTGGAGGACTGTGCAGATCCACAGTTTTAGGAAGCAAAGGGTAGAACTGTGTCTTTCCAGGAAATTAATCCCAGTTCATTTCCAGAGAAGACTCAAATGCAGCCTTTACCAAAACCAATACTCCTAAGTTTCCACTGTGCACATAAGTGTCCTTAATAATTTCTGGTACTTCATGTTCCTGCTATCACTCAAGCCTTGACTGTCTGCAGAGTAAGGGCACAAGGCACAAGGCTATGTGGACTTTGTTATTACAAGTACTGCATCCTTGGCTGGTCAAGGACCTGGCTTTGCTCCCTTGATGCCAGCAGCTGAAGTCAGCAGGTCAGGGTGACCTTTGAAAGAAGAAACAAAAAGGAACAGACTCATGCAGGGTAGAAAGCAGAGGGTAGAAAGAAAAAGGCAATGAGAAAAAAGGACTGAAGAAAGCAGAGGTATGACAACATGGCAGAGACAAAAAATAAGAGAAGGTTCAAAAAAAAGCAGGTAAGAAAGGAGAAGAGAAAGAATCAAAACTTTTAAGGCTGGAAGAGATGATCAGGTGATTTCCTCCAACCTCCTGGATCTCAAATGGAAATAACTTTGAAAGATTTTAAAAGAAAAACCTAAAACACAATTAAAAAAAAAAAAGTTACCTGATCTGTTTATCAGCCATTTAATTCAAACTTGATCTTGTTAAGAAATGAATCTGCTCCTTCCAATTGCTCTTTTTCAGTCACGTCTTTCTCACTTCAGTTTCTTCCTGGGAAAGGACAGAAGGACACCAAGAACAAAGTTGAGACACTTAGACTCTTCTTAAATCTCAGGGGCTACTTGGCAGGCAGGCTGTAGGGCTAGGACAGCTGAGACACAAGTGACTTAAGGGAGCACCTGATCTCCTCAAAGAGGAGACTGAGCTCCAGAGGGAGCCTTATAAATGTATGTGTGTAAATATAAATATACAAGGACATATGGAGGGAAGAGTTGCCAGGGTCATCAGGTTCTAGCAGCATACAAGGAAGGGCAGCAGCCAGGCAGGGCACAAGCTCTGCCCAGAAGCCAGGACAGCCATGTCTGTCACTTCTCTCCAACTTCAGAGAGTATTTCACACCATGCCATGTGCATCCCCAACCCTCTGCAGGTCCACCCAGCCAGCCCAAGAGAGTCAAGTGTCATCACAAGACTCTTTTAGCACTTCCCTTCAACACATACATGCTGTGTCCAAAGGACAGCCTTCAAAACACTGCTCTTCCAGAGATCACTATCTTTCACCTATTTCCAAGCTTAAACAGACAGCCCTTGTTCAGTCTTATGCCAACACTGCTTTTTAAGCAATGCCTCTCCCTCTCCAAGCTACTGATGCCACTTTGCCCTTTGGACCACTCCTTTCAGCTCAGTGCCAGACTGCAGGAATCAGTTCTCTCTAAGACTCTTAATTGTTACTGTTTAATGAGAGCTGTTAGAAGTCACCACACAAAGAAATCTGGACACCAGAGAAAATTTCAGAAGCGGCCACAACTTTCAGCTTTCTGGAGATGCCTTCATCTCCTCACCACCAGCCTGGGAACCAGATGCCCTTTACTTTCTGCAGGTGTCTCAGCAATATTCAGCCAACTTCCTACCTCTTCCCTTTCACTTGTCACCTGGATGCTGAGCCAGAAGCAAAGGAAGCACCTTTGCCCTTTCCCTCTGGAATGAAATTTTCTCCTTTACTGCAGATTTCCTAAGACATACAGAATCTCATATCCAACAGAGGGGCTTACAGGTTGGCACTTCTGCTCTGGAGATAAGTGGCTCTCAGTACATTCCTGAGAATAGAAGGTCCCTGACAGTGTGAAGGGCTAGTGATGGTGTAAACAGGTATAGGAAGGAGTTCAGGTTCCCTCCTGTTATATCAAGTGCCAAGGATAGGACAGCATGAAACCATTTGTACTGTCCCACCCTTGGACGACATGAGACTGAAACTGCCTTTTCTGCAGCCCCACACTCAGCTAGAGCTGGGAGAGACCAGCACATGGAGCTCCCTAAGGAAAGGCACTCCTCCTCAAAACACTGCACACAAACCTCACCCACTGCAGTATGCTGTTATCCCTTCTGTGACTCCTCTTCAGACAGTTTGCCTGATCCAAATTGATCTGTGGCTGCAGACCTTAAAAAGCCCAGATCAGCTAAGTGTGCATTTTCCCAGTAAAAATCACTTATACCTTTTTTCTAGTTTTCTATCAAATTAACCAGAATAAGACAAAAATATCAAAATATAGGAAGACCAGTAGCTGACAGCCTGTAACCCTGTCGTAAACAAGTCATGAATTGTGAAAACTCACTTGATAATGTCTACATCCTCAATAAACTTGTGTTATTGAGCTAGGCCTGACAAAATACATGCACCAAATGGTCCTGACAACCTGCTCAAAGTTCTGGCAAAACACCCTCCTTGTTGCCTCTGCTGCACCTTTCCATGCAGAGGAGCATTCAGGAGGACAGGCATCCACCACAAAGGGCAACAGCAAGAAAAGACAGCAAGGCTGCTAATATTCCCCACAGGCAGGTAGCCAAAAGAGTGAGACACCAAGATGGACATACAAATATATCATAGGGCTGTTTCTTACCTGCTGATGCAAGTAAGGCAATGGATTCCCTCTGCACCAAGAGGGACTTGGAAAGCTGAGTTTAGTTCTCTCTGGCCTTTTTTTCTTTTGACTTTTGGCTTCAGCTCCCCACCTGCCCAGGAACTACAGAGTCCTCTGCAGCTGTCTGATCCAGCTGGAAAACTGCTGCTGCGTCCCAACAGGATCAGATGCTCCTGCTGCAGCTGCACTGCAAGATAGGGTAAAAACAACCCTCCTGGGTTTAAAGCTGGGCAAAGTTACAGGTTTCCTTGGTGCTGGCTGTACAGCCAGCAAATACCAGGACTAGTATCATCTCCCCTAACAAAAGCCACTCAACTCGTGGACCAGCGACGGGAAGCAAACAATGTGATCATTTTACAGCAGACACCAGCACTTGATAACTGTTTAAACAGCACCTGGCACGGCAGAGGCCTGAACGTCTGTGGCCAGGGGATTTTAATGAATTAAGGGATTTTAATGCAATGAAGTGGAAAGCTTATTTGAGCTCTGTTTGTTTAAAGAGAGCTCCAACGAATGATCATTTGCAAAACAAACCCTAAGTCACCCCAAGCTCTATCTGACCACTTTGCTGTAATCTGCAGAACTCCCTGAGTCCCTTAAAAGAGGGTGAATGATGAAGGCTCCAGTGGCCTGGTCAGGGAGTTTCTGAGCTGAGTCAGACTCCAGTCACTTCCAGGGTAGGAAAATAGCTGCTATGGTTCTGTAGTCTAAGAGGGGGCAAAACTGCCTGGGAACAGAATGCCAGGAATTTTATAGGACATTTAAAAAACAAATCCAGAACAACATTATACTTTTAACCTAGAAATGAAAGCAATTAAATAAAGACCTAAGTATGTCTTCCCAGGAACACAGGCTCTCAGAAGCCAAAAACTGCATATAAAAGCAAGCAAGCATCTGCAGCCAAGCAGGGTGTAGCTCCAATGCTTCCTGTGGGAGAAGTGTCAGGGAGCAGGGTTTGCATCTTCCTAGGAAATCTGTCATCAAGAACCTGCACTGGCACAGCAGACAAGCCAGCAGCACCAAAAAGGTACTATGCCTCAGAAAATCTTTGTATGGTTAAACATCAGGACAATGGCACTGCTGGAACTGGGAACCTGTATGGTAAAAGGAGCTGAGGAAATGTGAGGAAACTGTTTTAAGAAGTGAAATAAGAGTCACCAGAGAGACACCTGAAAGCCAAAGAGGCCTTCGTGGAAGGGGATCCTAAATTGAACATCCCATAATTACAACAGTGAGAACAGCATGGGAATATTTCCTTTTTAGAGTGCTGTTAACACAGCTAGGCATGGATTAATGCCCCATTACTTGCACACCAGGACATCCCTTTTACATTTATTAAAATGATCAGGCAAATTAGTTTCAGAGCCACACACACACCGAAGCAGTGCAAATGGCACAAAACTCATGCTGACACATAGGAGCCTCCTCAATTCTGCCTTTCCTTTTTCTCACCTCCCAAAAGTCAGCTCCAGACAGTGACAGAACAGCCACACTAGAAGTACCACAATGCAATCCTGGATGTATCTGGTCCTCACAGCCTATGTCACTGGTCAAGTGGTACTGTTTTTCTCCTCTGCCTTGCCACACATCTCAGACAATGAGGTGTTCTCCAGGAAGGCCAACCTTTGTATCTGCTCTCCTGATCCCATGGGCCATGGGGCTGAACTTTCAACCTCCAGTTTTTGCCTTATCACCTGAAGGAGAAGTGCTTACTAGAGAATCACAGCCCAGCATGAGACATGGAGGGGAGCACAAAGACCTCACCATGTCTCATTAATGCATCACACCAGTAAGCTTGGATTGGAGATACAGGCACCCAACATCTCCACAAGCCAGGACATTACAAGAGAAGAAACAAGTTGAACTTACCCACAAGTCTCTGAATTTGCTTATTGCATTTAGTGCCACCACACTGCCCTACAGATGTGGGTTGCCACCTCTACTCCCAGATGCCACTGCTCTACCCCCAGTCTGAGCCAGGTACTGCACCCTCCTTCTCCCACTCTTCCCCTGCCAGGCTGCCAGAGCCACAGCTGCCATCTTCCAAGCCAGCTGTGGGCTCACAGTCCACCAGCTCCCCCAATCCTGCCAGCAGCATCCCCCACACCTCCCAGAGGCCAGCTCTTCACTTCTGCCCTCTGCCAGTATTCCCATTTCCAGATCCACCCCCCAGCAGCTCCAGGGCAGCTGAGCACATCCTCTCAGGCTCAGACTGCTGCACAGGCTGATTTGTCTGAGCACACACAGGCTGCTGGTTTGACAGAAAACCTTTAGCAAATGTCAGCTGGTGCTGTGGCCGAAGAAAGCAAACCTGTCTTCTCCCTACACCCAGCCGTGTCCCCATCCCTGATTTCATGCCAGCACAAGTATTTGTGCCAGGCAGTCAGACAGGAATGAGACAGAACTGGAGGCCAGCACATGCTGGAGCTGTCACTGAAAGCCAACTTCTAAACTACAACCTTGAAAATAAACAGCAGAATGGGAAGTCAGGCCTCCCTTCCACATACTTCTATTTGGCTTGAGAGCAGACAAACTCAAAGCCCCAGTGAGAGAAGCTGATGTCAAGAAACAGGTCTCAGAAGGTGAGCAGAGGAAACAAAGCCATGTCAGCATCCACTGTGTGAAGAGGACACTGCCACACAGCCATTCACAGTCAGGGATGGCAGGGGAAAGGAATCAGCAACTTCCTTCTCCTGCTGGGAGAGGATAAACCCTCTGAGATCAGCAGACCTCCCTTCACAGCACAAATGCATCTGAAGGTGCGGACACTGCCAAATTTTGTTAATGACAGGAGAAAAGCTGTCATCACAATAAGGTTTAAGGAGTGCAAAATAAACCTGCAAATATTTCCCAAGAGAAGCTGCTTTCTAGATGCATGACAGGCACAAAGTGCACAAGGGAGTTGGCACCAGGTAATGTCACCTGGGGAGAAGCAGTCAATTTGGCTCTTGCCTGCTCAGAACAGTTTGGGACAGAGAGTTTAGAGAAAATAAGAGGCAGTTTAATTTGCTGCCTGCTTGCCTTTAGGCCCTTGAAAGCAGGGACTGACAGGAATTTCCTTGCAGGACCTGGCAAGGCATTAGTCCTCAGGAAAACAGAGCAGCTCTCAAACACGTTGGTGAATGCTCTCCAC